TTGAACTTAGCTGTAGCAGAAAATCCAGAAAGGAAGTCTCAAAGCTCTCCTTCGATGGAGAAACTTTCTACTGTGACTGCACATTCTCAAATGGTTTTTCACTGGTTCTGTCCACAGGACTAAAGTATGGCTCTGTATGATACCTTTTGTGCAAGTAATCTGCAGCTCTCCAGAGGAAATAGGTATCACAGATTATCTGCATCCCAGATGTGTTGTTCCTCCCTTGTATATAAAGCAGGTGGGAACAACCTGAAGGACTCACTTTGGTTGTTCCTACTTGGTCTGGCATTGGCAAACTCGCTTTGCTTGTTCCTATCTGCTTTACAGAGAGGGTAGGAACAAACAAAGCAATTCTTCCAATGACAAATCTTTGAAGCTGTGGATGATGAGGGCACGTCAGTGTGTGGCAACTCTGTTGTCTTCAGCATGCCAGTGAAGTGCTTTGGGTGTTATCCTGCTGCTGCATTTGAGTTAAACAGCCCTGACAGAGAGATCCACCACAAAGATGGGAAAAGATCTAGAGTGCTACATAAGTAATTAAAGTTCATTTTAATCCCACAGAAAAGATATACCAAAAGTAAAATTTATTAAAGCTAACTACTTCAATGACTGTCAACAAACACACAACCATATCCTAACTAAAAAAAAAAAGCACAACACTCTCTCATTTCTCACCTGCAATTAGAGCTGAGAATACTGTAAATCAATCTGATTTTTTTATCAGAACCAACATTCTTAACAATATGATGATCATATGCTAAAAACAGATTCTGGAACTACCATGGGGAAAACTTGAGATAGCCTGTACAACTGTGTATTAAAACAGCCTTAGCCTGATTCAAAACCATTTAAAGAAGGACTTTATTGATGGACTGTTTAATGTCCTTGGATACTACTGAAGAATTTTTATGGAAACACTGTATACTGCATTATTAGAACACATTTATCATCCACTGCCTCCACATACATCTCACAGCTGGCTGACTACAATAGCAGTATGAATCAGAGGTACAGGGCACACCAATATTTTCCTCACTAAAGGAAATGGAGTTCTTTAGGGAATTTACTCACTGTTTTTACATTAGCAACATAATAAAGCAATTACAATGATCTCCATAGATTAAACCCATTAGAGAAAGAAATATCGTGAATAAATGAGGCTTAATTCATATTAAACATATTTAGAATTTTATATAAGTTTTTAGGATAACTATTCCCATGCCCAGTGAGAAAGATTTACCAATAACAGAGTGAAATCAGTTAATAGGATACTGAACGCAGAAGTTTTCCAAGAGACTGCATCCCATCAAAAATATTATTTGAAAAATATGTCGCTATTCTTATTACTTTGTTGTAAGCAGAATTAGTGGGCTGGGTCAACACAGTGACAAACAGATCATGAACAAAACTCTTGTTCACCATCAGGAATCACTGTCAAAAGACAACAATCGTGAAACTTCAGTCAGACACTGCCAGCTGGCTTAAGCCACCAAATGTGCATAAAGAAGAGCAGATTGTCTCTCTTCACAGAAGTGCAGACAAAGTATGCTCTTCTTTGTCTTTATCTAGCAAGGCTGACACCAGAAGCAATGGAGTGTGAAGGCAGTTTAATGAGCTATCCGTAACATTTCTTTCTGCCACCTCTGAAGAAGTAGAGTACGACCTAGCTGACAGTGAAATACAACTTCCAGCCCAGCTCCATTCACTGCTGTTTAGTCCATGCAGCCAGGGATAGCTGCAGGCAAACACTGTAAATTCAAGACAGCTCAGCTGCAGTTATGGCACAAAGGAAGAGCTGAGAAGCATAAGGAAGGGCAGCTGTTTGCAGACCCCTCCTGCCAACCCTCTCTGCATGGACCACTGAGGGGCAGGAGAAAAGGCAGCTGGGTCCCAGGGAGGACACTCACTGTTCTCACCCATTTTGTTAATTTAAGTGCATAGCCTCCCTCATACCTTCTGCTACTCCAGATCCTCATCCTTTTCAGGAAAAATTCCCTCTATCCCTCTTGCACAGCAGCAGCAGTAGAGGGGTTCGTACCACAGGCGCCTAACGAGTAGGGCTGCCAGCCCGGCTCTTCAACACCTGCAGGAGTTGGAGGATCCTTTCCCCAGCTGCCCTTTTAATGGACAATCCAGCAATATTTATGGGAGGGAGCTAAGGAAAATAATCTCCAAGTCCCCAAAGCAGCTATTGTTTTCCACAGAAGATCCAGAAGATCTTCACCCCGCCATGGCTGGCTGACCTGGAGGCCGAGGGTGTTTGCTGACCTTCAGGGGAAACGGCCCTGCAGCAATGCTGCCACTGCCAGCAACCAGCAGCTTATTATGGGCTGCCACAGCTCCTCTGAGGAGAACCTCGCTGCCTCCATCCTGCCTCCCCACACCCATGTTCAAAGGGGCAAAAGTTTCATCAAACATCTTCCCAAAATGGCCGCCGGTTCCCCTCACAACTCACCTCAGCATTGCGCCTCCTCCTTCACCACAGCGGAGCCACCGGCGGCGGGATCTCCCCAACCCTCACAGCACACGGGATAGTGCCAGAGCCTGTGGGGGTCTCTTTGGTGTTTGGGGCCGAGCCCTTCACTGCTGTGAACGTTGAGCGTGGAGGGAGATGGGCTCCCTGCATCCACTCCGAGCCCCGGCACCTCAGTGTGGGCCCTGTGGCCCTTCCCAGCACCCCAGAAGGGAAAAGGGGGAGACAAAACCTGTGGGGATGATACAATTACTCTAGACTTTTTTTTCCAAGAACTGCCCCCCAGTAACAAGCCCTTAGGGTTACCCTGAGGGGAACAGTGCAGGGTAGGAGTGAGGGGAGGGCTGCAGAGTGGGGAGCAGGCACTGGGCACCCCAGTCTTCAGAAGGGGACGGCCACAGAGGCGAGGAGCCTGAAGGAAGGGCAACAAGGGGGAGAATGGCTGCAGTGCCCTGTCCACTTTGCAGGCACGGCTGGGCTATGTGCCCACCATCTGAAATAAAAGCTCATTATCCAGGGGCTATTTTTGGCACACATTGAGTTCTTTATAGTTTATGTGCTGCATTTGCACTCTTCTTGCTGGGAAAATTCATATCCAGTCTCAGAAAAATACCATTTTCCCCGTTTTGGGCAGTACCCTCTGTAATGAGGAAACATGGCCTTTAAAAGAAAAACAGCAAATAAACCCAGATCTCAGTTTACATACAGACCACACATAATACCAAGCATGTCCAAATGCATACTTAGGAATAAAGTTGCCAACTGAATGTTTTATACTTCAACATTTCACTTTCCATAACATCTATGTCAGCATTAAATACTTGCTATTCCTCTCTTTCCTAAATCCAAGCAGTTCACAGGAAGAAAGTCACATGAAAACAGTGGTTATGTTGTCCTTTTCTGGCCCAAATTTGCAGCCTAGGGAGATGCCAACTTCCTAGCTCTCCTCATTTTCAGTGAAGGCCATAAGAAAGCAAGACTTTGTTCTTGCATCCTGTTCTGGCTTGGATTTTGGGATTACAGGTTCCATCCACAGACAAGACAAATATGTGGGCATAGTCCTGTGGTCTTGACTCTTCCTCATCACCTCTCCTGGAGCCTCTTATCCCTTTGAAAGCATGAAACAAATACCAATTGGTTTGGTTTTTACTGGGCTAGGTGTGGGTGGGCATTGTTGGTGTTGCTGGGAAAAACTGTCCCCTCCAAAGGACAGTTCAGTGTGCAGGTATTAAAAACAAAAACAAAAATAAAATAAAATAAATAAAACAAAACAAAAAACTTGGAAAAGGGTTTCTTAACTGTACCAGTCTATAGTATGAGCCCCTTTGACTGTCAGTGGGTCTCTTTTGGCAGAGGTTGACTCTCGCTTAAGTATTAAACTTTCATCATCTTGACATTTTGGACCTGATTCTAAAAAGGTGCATAAAGGTGCTTCGAGGTGCTTTCACCACTGCATTCTCCCCACCAGACTCTCAAGGAATTCAAAGTTGCTTGGGGGCACCATAATTCTCACAGAATCGCAGTGTAAGTCATTGAAGTTTAAAGATAAACAAACACTTCTACACAAAACTGTACAAGTGTGCAAATTCTCAGCTTGTTCAGGAGTATAGTAAATAAGTCTATTTCACCAAAGACTAGCAAAACTGGTCACTAGGGTTTGTTACTAGCGATACCTCAGTAATTTAAGAAATATTCTGCAAATATTTCACATAGAAATCTGTCCCAAAAGTTAGTTGGAAGGCTATTTTATTGCTCAGCTGTATAGCTAGTATTCAAAAAGTTTTTGTTTTTTTTTTTTTTTTTTGTTTGTTTGTTTGTAATTGTTTAGGGCCAAGTTGTTTTGTTTTTTTTTTCAGGAAGCAATCTTTCCTTCTATGGTTCCTGACCATCTTGAATCACGTAAATTAGGAAGTATCAGCTCAAAATTACTGTTGTGCTACAAGAACCCAAAGGGAGTGTGGAACTAGATCTCCGTCAGGAAAAACAGCTGGTAAAGAATCAGGCCAACTGTGTTTCCAAGTAAATCCTGGAATACAGTGTGCAAAACAACACGTGTTAAATCAGAAATCCTCAAAAGAAAAGACCATTTCCTCAAGCAGATTAGCTACCTCAGATGAAGGACATTATAATCAAAAGGGAACCTTGCCATCCAGGTACCTTTCTAAGTCTTCTTTTCCTTGATTTCTTCATTTTCTGTAATTTGAACAGGAGCTGAGAATATTCAACATCATAAAACAGGTGAGGCTTTAAGAGAGTACGATAGCAGGTACTGTCTCAAGACTTGAACTAAACAAAGAAATTTCAGTTGATGCTTAACAGTTTCTTCTTAAGATACCCTCACACTCACTTATCTCTTTTGCTTCATTAGTCTCACTTCTAATGTACTGATATACAATATATGATAAGTTCTGCCACATATATCATACATACTGCATACCACTACTCAGTCTTCTGGACATATCTTCCAAGACATTCACACAACTGCCACATGGACAAATAACAGCAAGACACAAACTATACAAACCTCTGGAAGGTAGACATAGGTTTTTTATATATATTCACAAGAGCAATTGTTTTATTTTAAAACCTTTCTAAAACAGGCATATACTGCAGGCTTTGGCAGTAGAGATAAAATATTTTGGGATCCAGCCTTAATTTGTTTTTCTCATCCAAATATACACATTGTTCTAACAGAGGAATAGTTTAATCCAGACATATTATTGCTGCTTGATGACCCAAATGCCTCATATACTGCTCCACACATGAAACTACTGCAAATACTCATCTTGCCTGATCAACAACAGCTTCTTTGGGGTGGCAGAAAAAAAAAAGAAGCATATACATGGTTCACTTAAAATGCAGTGACAAAAACAGCATTTGAAGGCATGTGTTCAAAACAGTCCCATATTGTTATTACAGATGGAAACAGTGAAGGAAGAAAAACAGAAGAAACAAAAGCCAGCTTTTGTGAGTTCCAGAGCAATCCCTTATGATCCTGGGTCTTGTATAAGATGATTTGGAAGCTTTGGAAAGGCATTCAGGGTCTCTCCCTGAATAAGGCACTGTAACACACTCTCTTCCATAAGCCTGGCCCAGTGCCATAACAGTTTCTGCATAATTCATTGCACGTTTTGCTAAGTGTTCTCTATATATCTATATAGATATATACACATAGACATATATGTAATTTTCCATATGCTTTCCTGCAAAACATCAGAAAAACAAAATAAGTTACATAACAGAATACAGAATAGGCTAAATTTAGTGCCTGCAGACAAGCTGCACATGCCCCAAACCAAACCAGCAATGTGCTGATAAAGAAGTTATATATACTCTTAGTTTTTAAACATAATTATTTATTTTCCCACAAAGATTTGACAGAGCATAGCCTGAAGGTCTAACGTTTAACTTTCCAAGTAACTTCTGTCCTTTCCAACCTCCTTCATCATTTCAGTGAATTAGCACTATTCCTAGCAATTCCTTGTGCCATTTCCCATGACAAAATGTGATTTGGGACAAAACTAAACATTTCTTTCAAAGTCTTGGTGTTTAGCTCTCCAAAAGTAGAGGGCAGTGTCTTGAACCTCATCATCCCTTTTGAATATAAAAGGCTTAAGATATGCATAAAGCAGATACATATTCTTATGGAATAAAAATACATACTTTTAAAATATAATTTTCCTTTCATCTTGTCCTCTGCATTTTAAAAGAAAAGAGGTTCAAGTGGCTGGTCAGACTGGTTATGGAATGCTGAGATTTTAGTATCACCAGTCTGGAATCAAAGTCAGCAGCAATTATTACCTGTATCTGGCAAGAGGCTTTTCAGTGAATCTGGGTGAAGTGAGCAATGAACCCTTGTCAAGACTTATCAGTAGCAAAAGCATAGGTTGTTCTAAGAACTTAGGCATGGCTAACCTGCACCAAGAGTCAGTCCAGTTCTTAATAACGTTTCCAAAAGTGACCTGAAATGGATACACTTTCCATACGAAATATTCCAAGTACAGTATTATCTTCCAACCCAGTTCAGTGGTCAGTGATTTAGAGATTGCCTGAGACAGGCTACATCTTAATGCCATGTTTACAAGTTACTGCTGGGACTACCTCCCTTTAATTTGTCTTTTTTTTTTTTTTAATCCACTTTCAGCTCACATGGTCTTCTGCATCAGTAAACTGGAGTTCGTTCTTTGTTTTCCTTTTGAACTAGTTACTTAAAAATATCATCAAACACCTTTATTAAAAAAAAAAAAAAAAAAAAAAAAAAACAGAACTGGTAAATAATGACCTCCATATTTATCTACTGTCTCTGCTGTAGCTCTAAGCCGGAGGTGCTATGAGAAGTCCACAGCGTCTGATAAAGTAAAGGCATATACTGCCTGTTTCAATTAAAAAAAAAAAAAAAAGTATTTTTAATCTTTTTTAATTATGCAATTCCTGGTCATGTTTTAGCAAAAGTCTTTGAATCTAGGTCTCAGACATCTACTTGTTATGCTTCAATCATACTTGTAATTGGAATTATTTACAGAGAGGAAATATTTACTGAGAGTGTAAGAACTTCACTCTCTGATTTAACTAAACTTCAATTGTTACCTCCAACATGATGTACTTGTGTGAGTTCACATTTTATCTCAGTTTTCTTCCTCTTCCTCATCTTCCATTTCCTCTTCTGAGTCATCCTTATTCTTTGAAGTGTTGCTGAATTCAAGGTTGCCTTCAATATCCAGTACTTGTAAGTACTTTAGGCTTTGGAAGAGATTCTCCTTCAGTGCTCCAACTGCAATCTTATTAAACCTTTAAACAAACAAACAAAAGACCTTACTGTTAAAATAAGCCCATTTTTATATCTAACACAGAAATGAAAGGAGACTACAAGAAAATCTTTCTGCAGAGTTACTATGACTTTACTCTGACCCACAACAGCACTTCAGAGATGCCAGCCCTTGTAAAGAAAGCAGAACCGCCAAAAATGCTGTTGTTGATTTCTCCTCATGTAGAACTGAATTTTGAAATGAGGAATATGGAAAGATGATTATCTTTCAAGTGTCTGAACAGTGTACAAAGGTTCTGGCTGACAATAAAAAGTTGAAGCTCAAAATCAATGTTCCCCCCTCCAGACCCCTCACTTTTTGTTCCCGCTTCCCCCCCCAACTCTGGACACATTAGGTTGCAGAGTACTGACTCCTCTGGCCATAAAAAGAAAGGGAAAGCAGGTACAGATTAGCAAGCAAGCAAACAAAGTGACTGAGCAAAGCTTGTTGACAGCACTGCATATCATTGCAAAGGACCCTGCAGGAAAATACTGGGAAACATTAATTATCTCCCACTGATTTCTAGTTCACTGGTCACACTCTCAAAAAAACCTCCTACTTTTCTCTACCCAGCCCCTGCTCCCCCCTCTATAAAGGTACTCTACAAGGAAAAAAAATCATATTGAAATTCCTCCCCCACAAATTCTTTCTCTTGGCGTTCTGCTTTCTCCTTCCCAGAGAGGAAAGGCATCTGCTCCATTGCCAATATTTCAAAGTGCAACTTGCTTTTCCATGAGATTCCATGTCATCCCTTGACAGTTTAATTCTTCTCCCACAATATATGAAATACTGGCACAAAGTATCTCTTTAGAAACATGGCAACATACAATAATTTTTCATGTTATTTTGGTTTCCAAGAATGTAAATAAACTAATAAGAAGTTTCAGAACCCATCACATTTCCTGCTTCGTTCCTTACTCTTGAACACGCTTAAAATTGTATTCTGTCTAATATTCCAGATGTATATTATTGTTTCACACTATTACATGGATTAATTGCCTCCCATTAAGAAATACAGTTTAACGTGGGTGGAGTTGCCTCCTAAATATGTCAGCAAAACTGTTCTGCAAATTTCTTTTTTTCTCTTTATACAGGAATATAGAATGTGGTATGTGGTTTCTGGTTTGCATCCAAGCATTCACAAAAATCTCATAAATATGAGCAGCTGAATAGACAGACTGCTCTAATTTACACCAGACATTTTAATTTTATTTGCTTGGTATGGAATCATTCATCCAAAAAGGTATGATTCAGAACTGTAGGGAAGTATTGTTGCACACAGACAAAACAAGGCCATATTTAATGTTGGACAGCAGGCATTCCTGAACATGGGATCAGTTTAATCACATATTCTGGAAGATTTTGTATTTTACTTCTAAGCAATATTTTCAATAGTATGTTGTTATATTAAAACTGAATATATTACTGTGCCAGATTCGGGCTTCACTTCTTGTGGTTTAAATCCTTAATAACTCTGCTTAAATCAGCTACTTCGTTGTGACTTTACATTATGTGTAAAAAAGGTCAGTATCTGCCACCCGTAAAACACAATTTAATAAACAAGGTCCTCATCCAAATGACAGAGTAGGAAAAAAAAAAAAAAAAGCAAAAAACAGAAAAGCTTTCTAAACTTAGTTACATAACTGCCATATTTGTGACAGTTGATTACGTTGTCATCTGTTTCTAACAGAACTATCAAAGAAATGTGCACATCAAGATTAGTCATAGAAGCCCCATGACAGATATTTTTTTTGTACGGTACCAAAATCCAGGGCTAACAGACAAAGGCAATGCTGAAGTCCTATAACTGGACTGTAAACTTTTAGTTCACAGCTAAATATTGGAATACGACATAGTGTTGTTAAACATTAATTTCCCAGAATTTGTAAGGTGCCTAATCCGTTCTAATAAGGCATGGACAATGTCAAGAGAAAAAGCATGTTATGTGTACCTATGTCTTTTCTGAGCAGATTAACATAGCTTCATCACATTTCTACAAAACAAAAATGCTTATTTAGAAAGTTAGTATTTTAAATACTTTCTGAAAACTAAGCAATTATAAAGTGGATAGAGAAGAAAAACCTTGCACATTGAAGTAGAAACCTGACCCTACCTGAGGTAAATTCCCTTTATTTTGGGTGTGGATTCAAAAGCATTCTCTGAAATGGTTGTGATCTTGTTGTTCTGAAGATACAAATATTCTAGAGATTCTGGCAGGCCTGATGGGATGGAAAGCAGCTGGTTGCCAGCCATGTCCAGTGACTGCAAGGAAGAGACAACAAGGGTTAAATAATTGAATGTAAATATTAGCAGCACTTCAAAAAGAGAAGTGAGCTTAACAACAAATGAGCTTTTAAAGGATGGCTATATCCACACATACCCCTCTCCTTTAAAATTTTATCCACTGCTTTTATGTGCATATATACATACATACATAAAGATATAGTGCATGCATATGTGCATTTACAAAAAAAATAGTATGGTAGCAGCACAGAAATAAGATGTTTACGCAAAGCTTATCCAGGATTTGGGTTTGAAATTCATCTGGAAGCATGCTTTATTTTTCAGATGGTACTTTGGTGAGTCTGCTTCAGCACCTTTACCTTCTGGTGAGGTCAGGAAAACAACAAATGCTGTGTGTAGAGTGGAAATTGTAAATTGTCAGCCATGCACAAAGATTGAGTTTGATTTCATGGTGGAAAACTTAAGTGATATTAACTGTAGCATAAACTGATTTAATCTACTACTACTAATTCTCATCAAGGTAAGTGTGGCTGTGACAATTCTGCTCTCTTACATTGCTTACATTTAACGTCATGATTTCACATGCCATACCATGTTGTTTTGTTACACAGCTGAACATTTCTCTATGTCTGTCCCCAAGCTTTAGCCCATGACTATTTACAGTGAATTAAAACAGACTGGGTTTCAGATATGCTTGAGAATATTCTTTGGAAGCTGTTATTGCAAATGCTTCCCTAGCTAAGGTTACTTTAGATAAATTTACACATAAAAACACCTAAAAACATTCTCACATAGATCAATGAACAAAGACATTCAGGACTAAAGTCTGTGATACTTTCTTAGATGAGCTTAAGCAAGGAAATGGATCAAAATAAGTGTTTTGTTATCCTGTATTGTAGCATTTTCATAGCACCAAGCCAAAATACTAGTTACACATTTTCCAGAGTTACAGTTCTGCAGATGATTGTCATGATTTCAGTGTTTTTATTCTCCACATAATCCCAGTCTGGCAAACAATTATGCAAATGCCTAGCTTTGCAATTGCAAATAGATAGTCTTCAGTGATTTCCATGGAAACAGTGTGGACTGCACTGTATGCTAAGTACTTGCACAATCAGGATCTTATGGGATTGTTATCTGTCCAATCTCCAGTGCACTAACTCATTAGCCAAGTGCAGAGTTAAGCCCTCAATGTTAAAAAATCAGATTCATGTATACTACTATGGAAATATCTAACAAGTAGTAAGACTGTTTAAGAAAAAGACACAGCCAAAAATGGCCATTAGTCTAGCAATACGTGCTACTACCTTAACCTTGTTTAAAATGAACAGTGTTTACTGTGGGGTATGTACAGCTGAAGGGCCCATGTTTCATTCAGCAATGCATTGCTCTGGCTTGATAGTGACTACAGGGGAGTGACCACAGCATAAAAGTATCATGAAACTGCAATGAATCAGGCCTTTCAAGAAAGTAGCTATAGCTGCCTAATGACTGATTTTTGTTTGAGGGATTTGAAAAAAGGCAGGTGACAATGGCTACATTTCATCAAGCTACTGCAGTGAAAGATTTCCAGTGTCTGTAATTCTCATCACCAGCTTCCTTCCAAACTACATTCCATCTCAGATATATTTGCACACACACGCAGGCACGCACACATCACCGAGGCACCAAACAAATGCAAAATGTATCACTAAAGTCACCAACCAAATCTATGGCTGATGCAAACCAACAGCGCTACAGATACTGTTCCTGCACTGCTGATTTACATTACCTAAAAATCATGCTCATTTATTTCCAGAGACAACAGAAATAGCAATGTTCACATAGATAAATGCCTGGAATGTCTGAAAACACACTGGGCACCGGTAGGACATATACTCCACATTCTTTATCCCTGCTCTGCTCTCAGATGTACAAAGTTTGCTTGTACAGTGCCCTACCCATATGCACCCTAGATGGCTGCCATATGACACAGGTAAAACCTCTTACTGCAGGACACAGGCTGTTGCCTAAAAGGAAATGCAGACAAATCCTTCAGCCAGTGTAACAATTTTGAAAGGTCATTTTGCACAGCGCAAATGTGATTGTTCCTGCCTGCCTTATGGTTTGTGTTTAACTTTCTCCAACAATTAAGCAAATGACAAGACTGCTGATTGAATCCAGACCTCCTAACTGCTATCCAGGTGCCTTAGCCAGCTGAGCTGCTAAATCCTGCAGCTTGGCCTGACTGCCTATAAGCTGATGTGGGGGCTTTGAGTATTAAGAGTGTTTTTGTTTATGCATTCCTTCCTTCTGCTCTCTCTTCGGTGCTGATTTTAGATCTTTTGGGATACAAGTTATTTGAAACACATAGTTTCAGTTTTAATGACAACATTTGTTAATGTTTAGCTGAATATACAGGACACTGTTAGGGTTCAGAAACAAAAATGTCTTCACATTTCCCAGAATTAGCAGTACATGGCAGACCACCACTTTGGTCAGCAGTGGGAGGTACTCACCTCTGGCACAACAGCACACCATTTCTACTGCTAGAAACAGAGCATGCAGCACTTACAATGCAAGCCCAAAACATGAGTACCAAGCAAAGCTAGTACTGGTGCTACATAAATTGGCTTAGGCAGACGGATGAGGACATCAGCATTACTAACACAATTAGAGAAGGTGATGTTTCTACCTGGAGACTGCTGAGTTCTCTCCATGCTCTTGAATAAATGGAATTGACTTTCAGTTTATTGTTGCTCAAATACAGTTCCCGCAGTTTTGTCATCCCAGACAAAGTCCCTTTTGGAATGATGCTTATCTCATTTTCCTTCAGTTTCAGAATCTGCAAGTTCTTTGGGAAACCAAAAGGCACTGTGCTGAGATGATTTCCAGAAAGATCCAAGGACTTTAGTTGCCTCAATTTACGGAAGGCCTCCCGATGGATCTGGGGGCTTTTGAGCTTGTTGTAGCTCAGGTTCAGCTCTTCAAGGAAGTAAGTGGTAGCAAAGTCATTCCTGTTAATCTCAGAGATCTGGTTATGAAGGATCATAAGGGTTTTCACTCGTCGGGGCAGACCACTGGGAATCCTTTCCAGCATGTTGTTGTACAGGTGGACAGTGTGCAGTTTCTTTAAGCCCTGAAAGGCTAATGGGTGAATACCTCGGGCTTTTAGTTTGTTATTGTGGAGCAGAAGGTACTCAAGGTTCTTAATTTGGGTCAAGACATCTCTGCCAATCACCTTAATTGCATTCTTCTCCAGGTGAAGGAGGACGATGTTTCGAGGTAAACCACTTGGGATTTGTGAGAGGTTATTGCTGGACAAATCCAGATATTCGAGACTAGACAGTTTCCTTGGGAAAGCAGGAAAGAAAACACTCTCTGTTTAGATTCTGCAAGGTGAAATGATAATCAACTTCCCCTAGGATTTTACAGTCTTTACAATCGTGCTTGAAAGTCTTTCTCCCTGGCACAGCTCTCCTGTTACTGCCCTTTTTTGTCTCACAAAATGACTGATGGAGACAGCAAAACAGGGAGCTCCCACACTGCCATTAAGGACTAGGCTCTGCCATTGCTCCATGGCCAAACTAGCAGAGAACCTTGCTAGACTACACAAACACCCAAACCCTGCCACCTGGATGAGACCTGAGATCAGTTTTGCAGTCTAATGTTCTCTCATTTGCCAGTACAAATAGCAATGTGAACAATTTCAGTGCCTCACAAAAAAGCTCACCATTAAAACATAATTTAGCTCTCAATTTCACAGAAACATAGTCCAAGTAAGAGTATTTTTGTCTCTGAAATTGTATATTTAAACTGAAAAGCAAGCCTGCTTTTGAGATGATGAAATATTGCTCTTATGGAAAGTAGAAATGCTAATTCAGTGTCCTAGACTAAGATACTGAACTTCTCCTGACCCTCCAGCATTATGGAAGTGAGTCAGGGCTAGATCTGCTTTGTGTAAGCTACTGAATCTGGATTCCATGGACTCAGTTAAAGCTAAAATAAATCCTCAGACCAGCCACTTACACCAACTGGATGTGGATCAGTGGTATTATATGCCAGGACTGAGGAGCTCCTACGAAGAGACTAATCTGCATGGCACTACATAACCCGCTGCAGATGACTAGAAAGTTTTCAGGAAATACAAGAACTAATGCATTGCAGACATTACTCACTGGTTACTACGCTGTTGTTCAGAGCTATCCAAGTATGTTCTGAATGAACAAATACACTTTCTGGGTAAAGCACTTCATTGATGCAAGTTGTAATGCCTCCCCAGTTGGGTACATCTCCAATAGGATTATGCTGTGCTGTACAGTTAATATCACAACAGCAGCGTAATATCCACCCCCCCTCTGCTGACTGTGACTGGTGCCTTTGGTGTAGCCACTGTACTCTGTTCATCGAAATCTTAACAGAAATGATACGTCCAACATTACCTGAAGGGTGACACAACAGAGCTAAAGTAAAATACTACAGGAGGTTTCTGGGAGTGGGATGTGGAAAAGGAAAGAAATTTTTCATTGCTGGAGATCAGAAAAGTTTACATAACTCACACCAAGTTATAGGCAGGCCTGGATTTTCAGGTAAAACAAGGGCAGCACTCAGTGCAAGCAGAGACAAAGGTTAACATTTTGAAGCGCTAAGTCCCAGGCTAAATTTAGGACAGCCAAAGGCTTTTTCAGTCGCACCAGTTTCTAGAAAAGCTTTTGCAGCCATCTGGCTATTGAGCAGCACCATTACATCCCCTCTTACTCCAGCAGTCTCTCTGCACTGGGGTAGATGAATTCTATGATGAATTCATCTACCCAGATGAATTCACAACTGTGTATCTGTGGCTGCTGATTTCGGGTCACAGAAACAGAGAAGTGGTTTAACAAAGATGAATGTCTGGCCTTAACTTCCAGTGAACTGCCCTTGATACTGAGAAGTTTTGAGTAGCCTCACTTCTGACTTGTTAGGAAGAACAGAGACCAGCCTGCACCATCACTCTGGTTGCCTGTTCTCAGACAGCAGATAGCACCTCACATGATTGGGTCTGTGGCCATCAGGAGTGGTGCAGTCTGATGTGCAGTGTTCTATTTTTCGTATACAAGTACTCTGGAGTGTGAATTCACACCACTCACCACAACCTTTGCTTTTCAATGGCAGCATCTAAATCTACACCTTTTCATCCAGAGCTAGCAGAGAAATGCATAACGTAGTGCCGTTTTTAATAAATGTACTTTTAAGTAGATGAACCAGAGGAGGCAGACATTCACAAACACAGGTTCAATCTACAGATGTGATTCTCACCAGAAAGTTTCATTGTCCATTCCTTCATTAGTCAAGTAATTATTCTGTAAATACAGCTCCCTCAGGCCTGTAAGCTCACTGAAGGCTCCTTTGGGAATCTTCTCTAGCTTGTTGTTCTAGAGTCACCAGAAAAACATAGCACATTATTTAGCATGAAACAACATAAGACATTCGAGTTCTGCTCAGCTAATACCAGGCAAATAAATTAAATACCAGGCAGACACGAGTTGTTTTTAGGGGATGTTATAATTCTGCCTAAGAAATACATACAAATAAGAGCTTAAAATATTACAACTTCTTTTTATTGATCTCCCATGGAATTTTTAGGTTGAGTTAGAATTTGGGACCCCAGGAGGAATTATTTTGTATTCGTAGTCCCTGCACCTATGTGAAAATCTACAATGTAAGTTAGGCAACTAATGCTTGGTTGGAAGCTGTGAACCAGACATTCTTTTAGTATTCAGCATTTGAAAAGGCACAGTTTCTGCAATGTACATTCCAAAATAATTACTCCTTCCAAAATAATTATTGCTTATTGTGGCTTTGGAGTAGCCAGCAGGCAGATATGAATAAAATATAAAACTAAATTCATTTAGGAATTCCATACGGGTACTGTAGGAATTATAAAAGGGATATATAAAACTTCTGAAACTGAATGTTAAACTTTCCATTGTTAAGGTATATGCAATAATATGATTGGCAGGCTAAATGAGATACACGTCCCAACTAATATAAAGTGGATACCACCACAGACTGATTCAGCTGGGTATCTCAATGAACAGCAAAAGAAAAGGAAAGACCTGTCACACCTACAGTACTTTTAATCCGTTTTGGCCCACTATTTGCTATTTCCCATTTCTCAATGTTATGTTTTTGTTTTTTTTTTCCCATTCAAAATATCAAGTTTTAATGTCACTATTGACAGGCAGTGCACTTTAAAACAAAATGCCTGTTTCTCTCTCCCACTTCTCTGCCCTTAACACAGTTGGCAACAGCGGGGAAGGATAAAAGTTCAAAGAGTCTTCAAAGTTGAGCCTTCCCTTGGGAGATAACAGTTACTTATAAGTGCCAATAAAACCCAGGGGTTTAGTAACTTCACACTTTGCAGAGAAATTCGAGAAATTTAAAGGATCAGACCCTTCGCCTTCTTCAAGCTACAGAAGCCCATTTTCTAGAAGACTTTAATGGGATTTAGCAGCGAAATCTTCAAGGGAAAAGAAAGCTTGGAGGCAACACAGAACTGCATAAGACCAAGGGCTGATAACAGACTTCAGTCTACACACGTCCAAGGAGCTGTCAACACGAGAAACAAACGGAACCAGGATTCCCCACCACTGCAGCTCTCCCATTGCTAAAAAAGCTAAGAACTTTAGCACAGACATCATGAAATGTTTTTATTGAAATCAGATGACATGGAATTAAAAATGCTGGAGAGTAGATAATACCACAACTTCTGCTGTTACACTACTGATGGAGAAGTTGTAGCAGTGAAGAATCACTGATCCAAACTTTCTCTGTGTTGACTGAATTGCCAGTTCAGTAGCAAACAAAAATCACTGATGATAGGGAACAGCAGTCTATGTGATAGGAATTAGTGAGCAAAGCCAACATCTAGGGGGTAAGCAGCTGTCAGGAAAAACACCATCATCAGTGGTAAACTTAACCAGTAGGTCAATTAGTGAATGGCCATGAAGAATGATCTATCTACCTTCTTGTACTACCAGGCATTAATATGATTATACTCAAGCAGGGTCCAACAGTGCTACCACATGGGCATTTGCCTTTCATTCTCCTGAAAACACTGAAAAGCACTTTTATCCCCTGTGAGCATTTTCGCATTTTGCAAAAACACTCTATTACTTACAAAAAAGTAAGGAGATAGCTACGAGACTTACAGTAGGACCTGTGAATGTGTTTAAGGTGAACTGAAATCACTTGGCTGTGCAGTATGAATCCCATACAAACACTAGTACTTTTGTCACAATTGTAAAGGAATATGGAAGCTTGGTGTCGTTACCTTTAAATGCAATTTGTATAAGGCTGGAGGGAGATTCTTTGGAACATATTTCAGGAAATTGCTGGACATGATGAGTATCTCCACATTATCAGAGCCATTGAACATGCTATCGGGTAACCCAGCATCTGAAAGTTTGTTGTTATGAAGATACACAGATCTGTCAGAAGAAGAAGAAAGATAAACAGATACTTAGACCTATTTTTGTTTGTTTTACCAAGAGAAAGCTGTTGAAAAATTGTGGTTCAGTCTATTCTTCTTTCCTTGAGATAATTAGAGTTGTTTTCAAAGCATGCCCTTTAATTTAGGGAGGCATATATAATGCACAACCAAATGCTTAGTCCAAATACTCTCCAAAATGTAGGTCTATTTAATTCCAAACCTGGATGTGAATATGAATTTCATAAGTAGCCTCACCTTCTTAACAAATAACAGAATGCAAATCTGAGATTGCACAATGCTTTGAAACCTAAATTTCAGTTTTGTCATTTGGACCTAGCTTTGTACTTGGCTAAGAGGGACAAAACACATCAGTGTTGTGGCTTTACTCAAGAGGGTTAAAACTTATATCTGTAGAAGTTTTTTGTTTTTTTTTTTAAATGACCCTTTGGGATCTAGAGAAAGAAGGTTTCTTATTTTCTTGCTTTTAACCTTTAATATTCACCAAAGAGTTTCTCCAATCAGGTTAAAACAAACAAACAAAAAGATTTAATCTTCCTTGCACTGGTTGTAATTCTGTATAAAGCAACTGAAGTTGTTACAAAGTTATGAAGTAACTATGAAGTTATTGCTGGTTTAACTGCTAAATAAAATAATTTCACTTCTTTTTAACAAAAGAAATTACAGGACTTTACTGATCACTATTACCCCTTCATTCCCTGTGTGTACCCTGAGATGAAGCAGGCAGATAAAATCATGGAGACAGATTAAAGCTGCAAAAAAGAGCACAGTGTAAAAGTGGGCTTGGACTCTCTACCAGTTCCAGAGAACTTGGCAACATCTTTCCGAAAGGAAGGAAAGGCTCAGAATGGAAACACAATAGTGTGATCACACACTCCAGGAGGTCCAGAGCCACATGAAAATAAAGCTCACCCTTCATGGTCAGCTGTACTTTTAACTTACAAATATTTGCCTTTCAGAAAATGCTGTTTTCCAAATAATCAGTGTGAGACCATGAACTCCGCTGGGAGCAAATAAACCAAATGAAACAACTGAATTAGGATGTGATATCAGCAATTTCAGAAATCAATGAGTTATCACTCTTATTAAAATGAATGCTGTTGCAAAAATCACTTCAGAAGAAGTGCAAGTATTTTAATATAAAAGTGGTATATGGCAGCTTAAGTAACTCAAATTTAGGAAGAACACATATAAATCTTGCTTCTTTTATGATGAGATATTGCCAGAAATCAATGCCCGATTCTGCCTTTTCAACTACCAAGAGCCTATGAGACTAAAGGCCTAATAAGCAGAATAGTTTCTGCTCTAAGTGAAATCAGAGGGAACTGAGTTCCTCAATTCATCACATGATTGGGCTCTTGGAGCTCAACTGGGTCACCGCTATTATTAAGTGCTTCCAAATTGGATGCATAAATTGCTACCAAAGGAGCCTGAGATGTCTCTGCAGGATTTAGATACTGTAGTGTCCATATAAAGAGGTTACCCAAAAGGCCTTTGGAAAAGACTGTATCTCACAGGAGATGTGTCTACACACAGATGGACTAATGTGTTGCACTGTATCCAGCTTAGAAAATCACAACCTGAAACTAGCAGAGAGACCTCAGACACCAGAGGAAGGTAACTATGCTTAACTTCAACATAGTTGAGTTACACTCAACTGTATTGAGTTCTGTACACTCAATGTGACTCTTCTTTTTAATGAATGGATTACAAAAATCTGGCAATTTCTAGCCATAAATCCCCATTTTGAGAAACTGAAGCTCTTCCTTTTAAATCGTAACTGAAGCATAGCCAAAATGGAGACAAATTAATTTTTATCTATGCAAAGTGTCTGGCAGCTAGTAAAAGACCTTGGAATGTATTTGTCTGAGAGGTTATTTGATCCTTGATGGTGAAATTAACCAGTAGTCAGCTTCTTTCAAAAAAGTATGAGGAGGCAATAAAATGGCTTAGCCAGATAGTTTCTTTAACTCACCAGCTACCTCCAAGCAGCAGCAGCACACTATTTTTGTTTCACTTTCTGATCCCTTACCTCAAGTTTGGTTTCTGTCCAAATGTGAGTCCATATATCTTAGTGAGATAATTGGCTGCAAAATCTGCACTGATCAAGGTATTCGGGAGAAATTTTGGAGCCACCGTTAGCTGAAAAAGAAATATAAGGGGCAATTCCAATTAAATGCAACAAATGTTTTGACCAAGTATAAAGCCATCAACAAAACACTTGCAAATTTATTTTCTCTGAACGGGCAAAAGCAAATGAAACAGAATGCAGATTGTATGAACAAAAACAAATTGTCCTCACTCACTAATCTCTCCAGGAAGGAGACAGACTTTTGCTCCAAGATATGTGAGTATTTGTTTTGGTTGGAAGAATCCTGCCTCTTTTTGGTGGAAGAAGTCAAGAAGTTATTATTCTGAAAGCAAATTCATTGCTTGTTATTGTTCATAATTCCTCAGTCTGCTGTGCCAAAAAAATCCAACCCACCTCACACTGGCCTACTGTTTACTCCCAAATGAAAGTATGTCGGTTGCGAGAGGAAGTGTCACTTCGTGTGTTTGTTCCAGTACTGTGTCCATTTACAATGATCTCTTCAACAAAGGACACAGGTTCCCAAAGGGCAGGGATGTTTCCGAGTTCAATGACGGGATATCAAATGGAACTTCAAAGCAAAGATCTATTGTATGGGGGTACCTTGTTCTGAAGAAGTGATGCATCAGAAACCAAATACAGAAGGACAATTTTGTGGAAGGCATGAACCCAGCAGACTTATACATCAATATGGAAAACAAATTCCCTGGGAAACAAATTCTCAACATGATGCTGTGCTAGATATGATCCTTCAGTACATAAACAGAAGACTACTGAATTGCAGTAGGCACCTGCTACCATTGTGGTTACATACATTAACTATAGTAGCAGTGAGACAACTGATAAAATATTTTATGTATACTCTGAAGGACTCTTTTCTAAGGAGACACTGTATTTTTTGTCCTCTAGGGCTTTGAGATGACTGAAAACTCTGGGAACTGGTAGGAATGTACCTTCTAGCTTGAAATTATTTGAATTTGTAAAGCTTCTTCCTCACAGCACTGTTATGTGAAAGAGCAATCGGTTGTTAATAATAGTGTAAGAACAGAACTATTTGGAAGATGAATAATGTATGAGAGAACAGACACTTTACTGAAGATCTAACCCAACACTTATACTATGTATTTACCTAAAGTAAAACCTCTGTGCTAGTTTGTCAAGTGTGTATTGATGTACTATAGCCATTAACTTGTAACTTACTGGACTCAAAATACAGTTGTATTTTTTTAAAGGGTTAAAGTACATTATATACTATTTCTAATCTTCACCTGTGCAATCCTTAAGCTGTCTTAAGTAGTTAATGATCACAAACACAAGTGGAAAGATCTCTCAGTCCCTTCTATCTATATGTACAGATAGTACCTAAGCAGTGGAAATAAGAGGTGTTTGTGTAATACCACTGTTGCCACAGCACTGCCCTTGACTTTGTTGGTAGTCTCTCACCTCCTGACCTGGGAGATATGATCTCATGGAAGTGCATAAAGACACTCAGCTCTGATTAGGAAGGGCTGACAGAACTAAGTCTCTACCACAACATAATACTGAGATAACAGACACAGGAAATAAACTTAATCACTTTCATACACAGTGGCACATTAAAGCTTTTTTCCTGAAACACCGTCTATTGGGTCATAACTTTCATACAAAACAAAGTGAATGTCTAAGATATGTGAAATGAAAAACATCAGAACCACAGGAAAGAGAAAGAGAAGTTTCATCCAAAAAGAGCATTCACTTGCTTAGAACTTTGCTTTGGCATTTCAGCACTTAGTCATGAGGCTAATTGATCTCCACTGGTTGACTGCTTGAAGGATTACTGCTGGATTGTTGTAATTTAGCAAAATCAAAGGTGACCGAACAGCTTCATCTAATATACTGTCTCAGTATACTAGATGAATATACTAGTTCAGGACAAGATCTACAGTTTGATGGGAGAGATTTCAGTTATTAGCAATGCTTATTGTAGCTGCTATTTAATTAATACATATCATGAGTGTGATGAAAAATTCTAAAGGAAACTACAGCAACCATTCTTTACTTAAAGTACTTTTTAATCATAAGCCATTGCAGGATTTTAGTCCATTACAATATTTTTTTTCTCCAACTAGCTAAGCTCGTTTAATGAAAGTTAATATCTGGTGGGATCACAAGTGAAGATAAAGCATAAAAAATATTAAATAAAACAAGGAGCAAACTACCAGCAAATCCCTGCTCTCCTCCAGACACCACAGTTACTTGATCTGCATCATTTCCCACTGCAGAGTGGATGCAGTTTGAAGCCAATCTGGTTTGTCCTGGCTTGTGATTTATAAAGAAATGTGTTATTTTTGTGGGTCCACAACTTCTCACCATAACTAGTTCTGACATTCGCTGATGTTTGCATTTTCTTTTGGGATCCTTTTCTCTCTGCAGTAAAGCCAGAAAAACCAAACACTTTGTTTTGTCACACAGGGAAAACTGGAGTGCGAAGTTCTGGAATATTAGTCACAGTCTGGCTTGTTCTTCTTTATGGAGTTATTAACTGCCAAGATTGTTATATGGAAATGGTGCTTGAAAGAGAGAAAAGAACACAATGTTACTGTACTAAAGAATGGGTTCTATTTTCAATCACTCCACACAGAAATCCGTGGAGTGATTCTGGAAATGTCTTGGCATGACTGAAACCTCAGTGTGACCACATGTATATAAATGAAACATCAAAGGGTCACAGATTATAAAAGGATAATAAAAATACGTATATATGGACACACATATAGATATGTAGAGAGAGAGCAAAGGAAGAAAGGGAAGGGTATTTGTAGACGAAAGAAGCTCTGCCTGATTTTTAACTTTTTTCTGTGGCATCCCATTTCTTTGCAAATATTTGTGGGAGATGACCAGAGAAAAAGCCATAATGGGAACCACCATTAAGGGTGGGTATGGTGGTATTGTAAGGGTATATAAGTAGACATTTTGCTTCTTTGCTTTGGCAGGAAGGGAAATGTGCTTCTGTCATGACAAATCATCTTGGATCCTCCAGATGGGATCTTTTCCATTAAAAAAGAAATTCAACTCCTACCACTGCAGCAAAAAGAATAAATTCATTACCTGCTCAGTTTCACTTGTGTGTGGATATCCGCCCTGAACAAACCTACTGCTGAATGGGGGTCTGAGAAAACTGGATGGTATTTTGCAGATCTTGACAGCTCATACACAGGTACTAGGATGCGTTTATTCACTGGTATTTCAACCCAGCCTCATCCGACTGAGATATGCAGCATTTTACACCATTCCCCCACAGCTTATTTGCATACAGGGGTAATTTATAGGTGCAGAGGCTCTCCATATCTCCCTACACACACAAGGGAAAGCTTTCACCAACCACACAAAGAAATAAGCATTCAAAACATACCAGCATGTGTAGCCTCTAAGTTTTTCGGGCTCTAACTGGTTGTCTTGACCTTAAATGAACCTTTGTTAGAATATCACTTTTGGACAATTTTACATCCATAGGATATCTATTTTTAAAAGAATTGAAAACTTGCTTGTTCAACTTTCAGAGCACAATTAGAAAAGAGCTCTGAAAGCCTTATGAGCCTCTTACCTTATTGTTTGCCAGGTATAGGTAATTCAGGTTCTCCAGATGCTCAAATGCTTCCTCTGGCAGCCCTTAGAAACAGGAATAGCTCTGATCAGTAACACTGGCACCCTATTGCCTCTCTGACTGAAAATACCAGAGGGTGTTTTTCTCTCTCTCAGAGAATATTTTAACAGAAGATTTAGATATCGTTCATTGGCACTGATACAATCTGATTCAGACCTATTGTTGCTTTTTTATAAAAACCAAACCAAATCAAGCCAACACAGACTGTTAAGAACAATGGCAGACTGTTAAAAATTATAAGCATACATGGTTGTGGCCCACCCCGCTGACAGGGGTCATGTACAGAGCTGGCGTAGATTTGCTGTACAGCTGATTATCAGTGCTTGCAGCAACCATGCTATCTGAGAAGTTTCTTTTGTAATTTTTTCATGAATCTGCAGATAACTTTTCTTGGCAGGACATAATCTGAGGTTGTTTAATGATCAGATCAATCTGATCTATGACCATGAGGTCGCCAAAGTAACACCAGTAGCTGCATGTTGTAACTCTTCTCTTGTGCTGCTTCCCCTCAATCCCATACAGCCATGCAGTAACCAGCTTAGAGTTGATCCAGCTCAGAGCTAATCGTCCTCCAATAATTTTTAATTTTCAGCTGAATCACCCCACATCCAGCTGATCACACAAGCACTACTGCAGTCACAATGGAAAGGATGCAAATAACACTTTCACCTGGCACTTAGAAAACTGGAAGTCAAAGGCAAAGCTATTTCCCATGTCAAAACTTACGTAAAACTTAGAGCTGCACTGAGGCTTGTGAAAGAAACATCACACCCAAAAGGTAGTAATATCAAGGTCTGAATCTATTAAGCAGTCCTTCTTGTGTTACGTAAGAGTGATATGGTTTGGGTCCCATGCATAATGTGCCCACATTCTCAATAAAAGCTGTTTGCTATCATTGCAACAAGAAGAGTAAGAAAAATCAGAGCAACTGAACACACATGTTAAGAACAATTGCATCCTTTGTATTGCATATCCTACTGTCTTATTATTTACTCCAAATTCTTCTACTTTCTTCACCGACCAGTTATCAAGTTTCTCTAGTAAACACTAGGCTTAGCAAACAAAGCCTGCCTACAAAAATGAAAATGCTTTTAGAAGGGGAGAAGTTGCAATATTTGCAATATGTTATATGTATTTATATTTAATTCAATGAGAACCAAACTGGAGTAAACTTCATTGACTGACTGAACTAAACAAGTGAATTAAGAAACGAGGCCAGTCAGAAGGAAATCATTCAGCATGTAGACATTTCTGGTTCTCAAGTGCATTGCATTGATGTGCCTGAGGGACTGGAGGGAGTTTCCTGGATGAGAAGATCTCACGCCACAGTACATAGTACTGCTGCCAGGTCTCCTCCACTGGTTCAGTAAGGCTGCATTCTTATACACTGAGTATTATGTTTCAGATGATAAAGTGCCTCCACAATCTGTGTGATGGCTAAAGGAGTGATGCTTACAGCCAACCACTCCAGTCAAGTGAGTCCATCACTCCTCATGGCTTCCTTATCAGCTGCCACTGGGCCCACTGCACAAGCTGGTGTTGCTGAGGCTCTGTCTCTGTGCACTTCACGGATCTTCTGGCTTACCTTTTGAAGTCAGCCTGTTGTTTTGCAAATTGAGAGTTTCTAGTCTGTGAAGACGAGCGAGCTCTTCTGGAAAGATTTCTTCTATCTGGTTATTCTAAGAAAAAGGAGAGGATTAATCATCAGCAAAGTAATCCAAGAAGGATCCCAATAAAACCCAGACTATGAACTCCAATAAAACTTGGAAATGAACCCACCATGTCAAATCACTGTCAACAGCCTTCTCTTCATAATGAGCCAAACTTGGATGTCAAAACCAAGACATCCAAACCCAGCAGCATCTGAAGGCCTGAAACAAGTTCTGTGTTCATCTCCATAAATATCCAGCTTATGGACTGGTAGCACACAGAGTGCAATCATGCCTGGCAAGGTTTATAATCCATCTGCCACAGCCAAACGTGTAGCTGCAGCAAAGCATTTGCTACGAGGTTGGCACTGTAGAGTTTCAGGTTTATTCTGTTATTTAAATGTTGTTTTTAAAATGAAGAATTTTTGTCCCATTGCAAACTTGTCATGAGCAGGGAGAGTCAAACTGAGTTCAGTTTCACTGGCTTTACTGTCGGAAGCGACTGCCATCAGATTTTCATTAACAGGCTTACTAGCATTTAGACCATTAATGAGTGATTCTAGCATTTTAGCATGTAGGGGACTAAAAAAGTCAAGGACCCACTGAGCTGGAAGCCAAGCTAATACACAGAAAGTGACAGCTGCTGCTTCAAAGTAGCTTCTCTGCTTTTGGCAGTAGAGGTGGGAGCCATGGCTAGCACATGCCTGGAACAGATCTGCTGAGGAAGGTGCCAGCTTACATTACGGTTTTTCTAACTACACAGCACTTGGATGGAAAGCTTTGAACAAAAACTGCATTTTAACCATTGATCAGAATTGGCAAACAGGAGCAGTAAACAACAAGCAATTGCTTAAGAGCCAAAGAAGCACTGTGGAGAAGTCTGGAGCCATGACCAAACCTTGGAGGAACAGCCACGGCTCTGCCACACACCAGCCCTGCTCACGTCCTGCGGTGTCAGAGCAAGGGCAGGGAAGTATGCCTGCCAAAATGCTGGTCATAGGGATCTAGGACCCAAACAGCAAAGCATGTTGTGGACAGTCCAGGACAGGCTCCTACCTGAAGTTCGAGTCTCCTATTGTGTGCCTTTGTCTTGAAAAGACATGAAGGCTCCACAGTGTAACCAATGGCTGCGGTTGTGGTGTTACAGCTTCCTGGGTAAAATGACCCCAAGATATCCTCATTGCACTCAGCCCAGCAAGAACAGCACCAGTTGTCACCCCGTGTTGAGGCCATCCATCCCTCTGGTGCTGCTTCTAGGCCCGTGAGGGATGGTTTCAGCCACACTTCAAGCACTCCTTGCTGCGTGCACAGGCTGCAGGGAGGGGGCTTGGAGGAGACAGGACACTGGGAGCCACTGGTTGGCTCTGTGTCAGAACCAGTGTGCTGTGCTTACAATACTTTAGCTAAGTAGAGCTGCCAAAGACTTTATTAATGAAGCAGTTTAGTCCATACTTTTCAAAGACACCTCAGAATTGAAGGCCTTAGCCAGAAAAAAAAAAAAAATATATATATATATATATATGTATATTGCTTTGGACAAAAATTCTTCTCTTGGAGCTAGGGAGAGGATAAAGAGGGAAGAAATCCAATCTTTTTTCCTCCTTTGATGTGTGGAGAGTTAGGGTGAAATGTCCCCCTTGACTCTGGGCGGCAGCCCAAGCCTTTCCAAAGGGCTGTGCTGAGCACCGGGTCACCGCTCTCTGAGCTGTGTGGTGCTGGGGAGCGGGGCTCCTGAGGGGGCCGGGGGGAGCCGGGCAGTGAGGAGCCGGGCCCGTACCTGCAGCGAGAGGTGGTTGGTGAGCTCGGGCAGCAGCAGCGGGAACTCCTTCAGGTCGATGCCGCCGCAGTCCACGACGCCCTCCTGGGTGCAGCCGCAGTCCCGGGGGCAGCCGGGGGCCGGGGCCGGGGGTCGGCGCCGCCTCTCGGGGGAGCCCTCGGGGAAATCGGCGGCGGCGGCGCAGCCCAGAGCCAGGAGCCCCAGCGCCAGCAGCGCCCGGCCGCCGGCCGGCATCGCCCCTGGAAGCGCAGAGAGCTCAGGGTCAGCCCTATGAGGCCTTCCCCGGGGGGTCCGATCCCTTCTGAAACCCCCCGTGGGTCCCCAGCTGCCGCCCCCCTGCCCGCCCACGTTATTTATTGCGTGTTTTTATATTGAGAAACGCCAGCTGATCCCGGAGGTTTATAGAGGAGGTTTTGCAATGTTATTCGTGTGTAGCTGCTGGTCACGCCGGCCCAGGGAAGCGAGAATGGACGGAAAGGAGGTGCGCTGGAAAACTGGCCCAGCCGCCAGGATGCCTCTCAGGGGCTGCTCTGGAGCCCTGGCTAACAGGGGAACAAAACCACCCTGCTACTGAAAACACCACGGGCTGCCTATTGGTTTTGGACGGTGCTGATCTGAGCCTTAGAGGCCTGGCTAATGCTCAGCTTTTATCTTTCTGGCAGCAGGTTAAAATAATGCAAACAGCAGTTGGGTATCTACCAGATCAGCTAGCTGGCCCTCATCCAGCCCCCCCCATCTCGTTTGTTGCTCTGCTCAAATTTTATACACAACAATTTGCAGTAACAGCCGGGGATGGCTTTCCTTTTTTTCCCTTTCTACTATCCTTTGTATTCAGCAGTGATGAGAAATTCTTATGTAGGCTCATCTTTTAAGGACAAGAAGCACAACAGATTTTTGATCTTGTGAAATAAATACTCCTACCACTCCAGGTTTCTTTGCATGAGAAACAAGAACTGACCAGAGCCCGGCTGGCACCTGTCAGAGCAGCACGGCTCTGTTTGCATCCCTGGGATTTGCTGCTTTGCACCAGCTGAACTCAGGGGCTCCCGCAGAATTTGGGTGCTTGGGAAGCATTGGAGAGATCCTGCTCTGAGTCCCAGTCATGACAATGTTAAATAATTTCTTTAAATATTGACTTACACTTGAAGAAATGGGAGAAGGGTGGCACTAGAGGACAGAGCACTGGCCTGAGATATGGATGGGTTTGGTTTGGTCCTGGTCTTTGCTACCAACTTGCTGGGTGATTTTAAGAATTTAACATTGTTTGCTTGATCCCTCTTCCCCCTGCTCCACTATTCCACAGCTTCCATATCTGTAAAAGCTGAATATAATGAAATTAATCTCCTTTATAAAGCATTCCAGAGATCAGATGGTGTTCCTTATATGGCAATATAGCTAGATATTAACAGTGAGATCAAAATTGGCCATATGAACATGCCAACAAGGGATTAGTAAAATCCTTAGTATTTGGTGACCTAACCTCAGAAAATATTTCAGAAATCTTAGAGAAAATAATCTCAGAAAGTACAATGAATCAGATCTCTAACAAAGTTATTTTTTTCCTATATATCAGCTTACTGTTACAGATATTTACAAGCAAAACTGAATAAAAAAATTAAATACAGGTCAAGAGCAGCCTTGCTGTAACAATGCCAACACTGTTTCGATAGCAGTTACATCATGACTGGTATTGGGCTCTATATATTTGCAACATGCAGATTTTTCCACATCTATAGCAAAAAACGATGTTAAAAAAATAGCATGAAATAGTGCATCCATTATATACTAGAATTTCCTAGACAGTCTCACCCTACTGTCATCAGTAGGTATGATTCTGCTACAATGCCTCTGAAGGGCATGCTGCTCTGGTGCCACAGGGAGACACTTCAGATACAGAAACATCTGCTTGCATCTGGAGAGCAGGCAGTAAAACCGGGCATGAGTTTGATTTTCTTTTAGTTCAAAGAAAGCCTGAAGTAACTCACTCCTTTTAAATTCATTCCCATGAATTTAATTGGGCCTGATCCAAAGCATTATTAAGAAATCTTATTAAAGGGGTAGCTCGAAACCCACTAAAAAGAGCACTCTTCCCTCACTGTCAGAGGGGTTTGGATCAGACTCTTCCACTCAGAGACTGAAGTTACACTGAAAGCAAGTTCAGGGTTCTCTGTGGTTGCATCTTTCTGAGTTCAGACAGAGGCACCACAGATTTCTGCACTTTGCTGCATCACAGCCCCAGGGGCAGGGTGCTCCAAAAGGCACAGTCTCCAGAAGTAAACTGAAGTTTCAGGAGTTAGTGTAGGTTTTCAGCAATTCCAACTACCTCAAAGAACAGCAGGCTCATGTTCAAAATATCTCATCTCTGCATCTGTTGTTCTCCACACACATTTCTTACAGGACACATGCACACTTGAAAAAACATCCTCTCCTTCAATATCAACAGGTTAAGTAAATTTGTAGCTTACATTTGATATCTATTCTGAAAGCTATAGCTGAAAGGCAGGCTGCTGGATGATGTCTGGCAATACAGCTTTTAAAAAAAATAAAGTGCTGAGAAACTCACCTTTGCTGTCAGAGATCAGATGAATGGAGAAGAACATTTCTCTTGCCCCCACAGGCTCCCTCAGCTCATGCCATGTCAGTTACATGCGCTGAGCTCAGAGCAAGTCTCCCCTTTCCAAGCCAGATCCTTTCCAGATGTGAGCAGCAGAATTAGAGAGAGTAATAGGCAACCCTCTACCAACGAGTTTCCTGCACTTTCCAACGAAATCAGAGAGGAATTTTCCAAAGTCACCATATGGGAAAATGTGAGTAGGAAAGAGGAAGCAGCTATAGTCCGAATATAAAGACCTGGGCAAGAAGCAATCTCCCATTGCTTTTTGTCAACACAGTTTGTGAGATCTTTGAGAGGTGCCAAAAGCAAGCATGCTGGAATTGACAGACGCAGAGGCAGTGTGTGCTTTAGCATTTCATTGCAGGACACTGGAGCTGCACTGTCTGATACTAAATCTTGAATTTTAGCTGCATTCAACACAAAATCTGAATTCCAGGTGGGAATGTTCTCCCATTCCCTGGGGGCCTGTTTCAGATTAGCCAGGAACAGAGAGATCAACAGTTTTTCCTGTATTTCATCTTTTTTGCCCTTTAACTCCCCCCCATTATTTTTTTTAACACATTAACTGACCTTCAGGGACCTGGGATAGATAGGCTGTGAAATGACAAAAGTCTTAGAGGCAAAGTCACAGCATTTGACATTAACACCCAATCTACCCAATGTCTTCTATATTTTTTAAGCCCCATATTACAGTACTAAACACCAAAAAACTATCCCCCACCCCTCAAACCTCTCCGGTCACGTTTAGCCCAAAGTCTCAGATTTCCTATTTTTCCCGTCTTGGTAAAAAAAGAGAGGAACATGCTGTTTATAACACGGTATGCTCTAAGTGCAGCAATACTTCCAAGAAAGCAACACAGCTGTTTATCACTGGCAGCAGAGTTAGGTTTTGTGCTGTATTTTTTTTTTAATATAAAGCCACCTGTTTTGTGAATGCCCTGCAGCATGCTGTACATTACCTTCACAAAATCCGCAGAGGAGCTCTCCTCATCAAGAACACGACCTTCTTGCTGTATTCCTTCCCCTACCCCCCCAAAAAAAATCCCCACACCGATTCTTTCCTCTCGACTCCAGCTGAACTAAAGTCTAAAGCAATTAAGTTATTTCCTCCCTCTCTTCTTCCAGGCTCATATCAACTGGAACTGATCCCCGTCTGTGCCACGTGTAAGTTTCAAAAGTTATTGTGGGAAGCGTGTTTCTACTGAAACAAAAATAAAAACAAAGCAAAGCTGGCTGCGTATTCTTACTGATTCAGAGATCCAGAATGTATTTGCCTGCTACCCTTTCTTCATTACAGCATCCTGAAGCCACAGACCAAAATTAACACCATGTTTTCAGGAAGGAGAAAAAAGTGTGTTTATGTTGGGAAACCACCTATCTTACCCCAGTCTGCAAACAGAGGAGTCGGGTGATCACCCAGCTCACTACTAATGCCAGAGCAGCCCAAGAGGGAGAGGTAGAGATCAGATTCACTCTTATCTAAAAGCGTATTTTTCTCTGTGTTTTTGTTGTGGAAGTAGAGTACTTAGCTACCCCATTGCATCTAGAGGTACTGCAGGACATTACAAAAAGATGGGCATTATGTCCCCTTCAGTGATGTGGGACAGAGGCAAAGAGAAGTGCCATGGCCAGCTCAGGATTACCCAGCACCCTAGAGCTGGTATGAGAAATAATGTGTGAAGGTTACACCCTTACGCTATGCTACACATTACCTAAATAGGGAAACGAGCTGGATTCAAACCTACCCAGAGGTGTTCTTACCCACCACCAAGCCAAGGACTCTGCCCTAGCATGGTGTAAGGTCTCAGGCAACCAGTTTCTCTTACGACAGCAGTCAGGTGCTTTCAGAGGAAAGCCATCCCATTGCAGGACTCACAACTCAGGATTAGTTGCATGACACATTCCTGGTCAAACCACCCTGGGTACCCTTGCTGTTCCCTGTTGACAAGTGACTGCGGTAGCTGCAGTCTGAACAAAGAGACATTCAGGTTCAGAACCTGGAGCTGAAAATTCAGTTTAAATTTTGGTACAATCACTTCTTTAGGTTACACAGATGGCACAAAAACAAGTCCTTGGACAAACTGCTGGGGTACTTCGGTGAACAACTGGCAGCTATCACAGCTGCCTGCACCACAGCAGCTCACGGGGCCTTTGCAGTGGTCCTGACATCCAGAGCACTGGGCAAGACCTACCTTCTGCCCTGGCTGCAGCAGAAAAAAACAACAAACCAAACCAAACAAACAAAAAAATAGTGGTGGTGAAAGACAGACTTTGCTAACCTGAACTCTTATTTTTCAAATAAGATCTCTCTCATAGACTCTGCATCAGGACATGTCCAGGGCCAAGCTGCTGTACATGGCACATAATTATTACTGTCCAGGAGTAGTAACTGAGAATTATGACTTACTGAAGTTACACCAAAGCTGCATCTGCCTCTTGGAACCACGGAGGATCAGGAAGCACAGAGGGAGCTCAAATCCATAAGACCTGCTCAGCTCTGACTCTGCAACTACTGTCACTGTCCTAAAGAGATTGCAGACTAAATTTAGATGGGATATGCTAAACCCAAATAAAGCCCATCCCAGTCAAGCAACAGTAAGAAAGAGAACAAAAGGTATAAACACATCTATTGAAGCATATTTGGGGAGATGCAAGAATGCTGGTTTAGCAGGAGGTTTTGCATCAGCTCACTTCTGATAAGCATGGAGTGAGGCATAAGGCATTCAGGAGGTTTTAGTTGCATCTTAATATGTAATAAAGTGTTATTTATTTTCACCTTTACTTATCTGATTTAAAAAAAGACTGCAGAAACAATGACATTCCTCAAGGGTCTGTTGTTATATGCTGATACTATGCTTTTATTTGAAAGGAGAGAACAAAGCCTATTAAAAATCTTTTAAGTAACTTGCTGTCATTCGCTTTAAAAAATGAATAATCAAAACACTGAGAGTAAAAGGCTTTTTTGTCTCCAAGGCAGGAAGGGAAGTATTTTTCAAACCTAAGTATGCACAACAGAGCCTGGCCATGAGCCTATTGGCATCTGTGTGTTGATCCAAATGAATTTTAAGATGTCTGTTCTCCCAGAGGACGTGTACTGTTCAAAATTAAAGATAAATAAATAAATAAACAAAATCCATGACTGCTTTTAATCTACCTGAAATATGGGACACAGACACAGCATATTTTGTACTTGCTTTATACTATATGTTTTCCTTTAGCTTGCTGCAGCATTATTAGGATATTTCTGTTCCTCTATCTACAGTAAATAACTAACATTTCCCAGAGAACCCAGCCAGGGCCATATAAAGCCATCTGCTTTTATCTTAGCAATGAATTCTTCTTACAGATACATGGTACAGAACAGCTCACACTGTCACTCCAACAAATTATGCTGCTGTTTATTTAAGTAATAAAGGAATTTGTTCCAGTTGTGGGTTAGTTCCCCCCCCCCATCCCCAGCATTTGCTCTCCACATGTGGTTTGCTTCCTTAAGTGTTGATTTTTCATAGCTGTGAGACTTTTTCCTGCCTTTTATCCACCAGGCTAATTGCCTTCTTATTTCTTTCTGTTTAACGAGAGCTGACATTCAGCTCAGCGCTCTGTAAAACAGGAAGGGATGTAGTTCCTGTTCCAAGGAGGTAACAGTTTAAACTGACCTCATAAATTGGGTGTAAGGGGAATGGACAAATCCAGCCTTGTGATTATCTGACTTTTTTTTGTTGTGAGAGGGAAGATACGATCAAGCTCCTTTGCCCCATCCTCCTGCATCCCAACATGATCCATCTCCCAAAGAGTAGCCCCTTAACCCAGCTGCCACAAGCCATTCTCAGCTACTCACAGCCTCCTCGCTCGAGCAAACTGGTCTCTCTGCTGTTTGCCAAAGGGACCACAGGTCACCTCTTACTAGGGAGGACTTTCTTTGTGCAAATAAAGCCACAAGGAGCCACCTGCCAGGTTCTGTGTTCACCTCTTAAAAGCAGCACAGATATGAACACCTGTATTAGTTACTCTGCCACACACCCCCATGATAATGTAAGCCCCATCCAATAATGTCCAGCTGCAGAAACTTCTTTTCCCCTTCAGACCACCTAATGTGCCCGGAGATATGCCCTCATTTATCCACAGACAGCTCTCTTGCAAATCTCCCAGATCTGTAAGAAAATCCTTTTTGTTAGCCTGAGCAACATGGGAACTGAGATTACTTAATGAAGCAGAGTTTTCTTAAGGAAAGGTGCCATTTCTGAACACCAGCTACTCTTGTAACGACTAAAATTCATTATAATACAAGCCGCAATCATTTTTTAAAAACACATATGGTACAACATGCATAAATTCATTTACTCCGTTGTACCCATTTCTGACTAGACAAAGCAACAGTAGATGTTTAAAAATAAAACCTGTACTCCAAAAGCAAAGCATTCACTCACATTCCTGCAAGCCAGATCTGCTGAGTCAGGCGTTGCTCTGTTCTCTGTCTCCAGCTCTGACAAATCCATTTGATTCTCTTGTAACAATGAAGCATCTGTTTTACTTTCTTTACTATGAAAACTGATATCTGAAAGAATTCCATGAATTTTACAAAAGAATGTAAAGATGATGTATACCTGTCAACCGGACACCACCCCTGGTTATTTAATGATTAATACATCAATCACTCTTGGTTAAAAAAAAAAAAAAAAAAAAAAAAGAAACAAACAGGTATACACCAGAGGGTATTCACCAAAGTCCTAACCCAAAGGGTATTCACCAGAGTCCATGAAGGGTTAACAACCCTCCTGAGCTTTAATGTCTAAAGCTGAAATTTCCCCTTATGTGAACTGGGAACCTGAAAGCACTGAACCCTCTGACCAGAGGACTATTTTGTTTGTTTTCTTTACACCAGGCCTTTGCTGCGTTCAGTGACTCATAACCTCCTAGGTACCTTTCTAATTCTGCCCTCAAGAAATCAAGGTAACATAACAGAATTGCAGTAGTACATGCATTTTGTAAGAAAAGTTGATCTAACGTTACAGAGTATTTCAGCTGGAGAAGAGGTGCTTAAGCTGCTTGGTCAAGAGAGCATTACGGAGGTAGAAAATACTTTCATAAAGAGATTTCTATATTGGTACACACTTAGGTAATGCCTTATCTGAGTTGGACAACAAATAAGTAACAGAATTTAAAGAAATGTCAAAAGTTGCTCTGTATTACAGGGCTGTGCCTACTTCCTCATCATTACAAACAGGGCAAACAATTTCCATTCACTTGAAAAATTTTTATTCAAAGTAATCAGAGTCTAAGACTGCAGAATATAAATAAGGGATATGAGATCTTTAGAAAAGAAACACACAAAGAAAATTAGAAAATACATTACAGCATACTGAAAATAACCTCTCCTACGAAGAAAGGCTGAGAGAGCTGGAGCTGTTCAGCCTAAAGACAAGAAAGCTCAGGGGTGACCTTACTGCAGCTTTTCAATACTTAACAGAGGGTTATAAAAAAGATGGAAATCAACTTTTTGCTCAGTTAGATAATGACAGGACAAGGGAGAATGGTTTTAAACTAAAAAGAGGCGAGATTTAGGTTAGATGTTCGGAGGAACAGAGAGAAATACAGAATCTTACTCCCAAGCAGAGAAAGTAGGCTGTGCTCACCTCTGCATTAGTCCATCTAGCTTATATCGATAAGTGAACTAAATATGTAAAGCTGATTTATGCATGTTTTGTTATAACAATATTGTATCTGCAAGCAATAAAACCTGAAGATCCTTAGCCTGTACAAACCTAGAGATTTCTCTGAAGGTTGGGATCTCGGACTTGGATGTTCCTTCTCTTGGTATCAAATAAACTCCAAAGTTATTTCTGCACTGCCTCCCTCCCGCCCCCCTAAAAAAGCTATCACAACTTGCAGGTGAATTTGCTCTCATCCCATTCCAAAGGGAGCCAGACCATCAGGAACTCATCGAAATCCTGTAAAATTGTTTCTGTCTGTATAGCTTCATAAACTGGCTCACCACAGCATCAGGTAATTACTGACTTTGATCAGCTCAAGGAGATGAAAGATGATTCACCAAGAATCATAAACAATATGCAATATAAAATAAGAAACATTTAAAAGGCAATATGTTGAATAATACTTTTTTTTTGCCATGATATTCACTTTAGTGTTTTGCATGGAGAAGCAGTGTCTTAAAACAGAATAGTTGAGGTGGCTTTATTAATTAAACAGTGACAAGAGAAAGTCATGTCTGTGCTCAAAATTCTTGTAGAAGTTGGTTCTTAGCTTGCATAACAATAAAAGCTGAACAGACGTCAAAAGGACAGCAAAGCTTGCTGATGAAAGGCTGTATATGCAACTCTGTGCAGAGAACAAACTGTTTTCAGTATGGCAATAGCACTGCAACCCTATAACACCTCTTCATTTTAGCCTACCGGATAAATGGCTAAAATTTAGGAACAGTAGCGGATGCTTTAACAAATGTTACATTGTGGAAAGTTTGTCTGAGGCTTGACTCCTCCTACCTACTACAATCCTTAAGGTAAGTCAATAAAGAAGTGTACAACAAGAAACTTGATTCATATGACCTGACTTTAAAAAGTTTTCTGTGGAGAAAGGACACATCTGTCCTATTCAGTACCAAGCTAATGCCTTGGAAAAGGAGATGAATAGTGAGGTGATACAAGCTGATTCATCCATACGTTAAAGACAAGGAACAAGTACAAGAGCTCCAGGCAGGTCTGAACACTGACAGGAAAAAAAAGTTGAAATTCAAGATAAATAAAGCAATGCACGTGGAATGAAAAAAAAAAAAAAGTCCCAGCTTCACAGTGCAGAAGTAAGCAATGAAGAAAATGAGAGACCTTAGTTATAAAGGATCTATGAAAAAGTCAGCTCAAAAACTAGTCGTGGTCAGAAAAGCAAATGAGAAGAATTAGGGAAGAAACATAAAAGGAAAAAGAGCATCAGTGCTCTTGTATCTGGAAAGCACTTTAACATGAGACAATTAGAATGTGATGTAGGGAAAGGATACATGGGTGGCCAGAAGTTTACAAGGGGCTCTCCACAAGGCACAGTTAAATAGACTGTTATTTTCTTTAAGCTGTGAAGCTTGAAAGGGGTAGGGCAAGGCTAAAAACCAGGAGTGTCACCAAGTCATTCACTGTTTCTTCCAGGAAAACAACAACAACAACAAAAAAATAACCACTTAGAGTTGTAAAATAAAACCACAATGTGAAAGGTAAAATAAATGAATGAATGAATAAATTTGACTTGGGATAACCTGTGGGCAAGCTACTGAAATTCTTGACACATGCTAAGAAGCTGTCAAGGATTTTAAGAGACTGGATGAATCAATGAAAGAGCCATCCACCAAGGACTTTACATACTGACACACCACTTCTGGCTCAGATCTGTGAGCTAAAAAATAATCGCTGGCAGTGAGCAGTGTATTCTGGGTAAACAGATATTTTGGCCATCTTAATGTTCTTTCCAAGGCATCAACAGGCAGAAAATGGATTAGCCAGAAAACAGCCAGAAAATGGGCTAGATGGATTTTGGTCTGATTTGGTATAGCCATTCTTACTGTCCACCAATGTGACTGTTAACCATCCACACCAGATAAGCAGAAAGACTAGCTTGAGTCATCTGATTTTTATTATGAGCGAAGTAAAAGTTTCTCAGTCCTGTCCCACGTATGCGAGGTGTACGTAATGGACAGTTTACAGTTTAGGGAGTATCTATGGAGAGTAGCTGAGGAAGAAAAAAAAAAGGTATAACTGGGAGCCCTTACTGATGATCCACACCAAATGCTCCATACATGAACATGACATCTGCTTATAAATCCAAGGAAGAGATACACAGGAGAACAGGAAAAGTATATTTAATTTTCTATTAAACTTCCAACCAGAATACATTTTCCCAAAACAAAAGTTAAAGCTTTTACATTACTGATAAGAAATTCATAATGATCAACACCAGATTTTCTCAGGAGAAAACAGGTAAATATTGGTTACATTCCCTCTCTGCTCTCCTAGCAAACCATATCTTTACTCAGGGCTAAGTATAATCAAATGCTACAAATCTCAAAGCAACATTTTAGTTGCTACCTAATTTTGGGTAGTTTTGTTTTAATTCCAAAGTCATAATAAGAAAAGTATTTTATAGCAAATTCATAAAGCCTATTCTAAAAAAAATGTTGTTGGAGATCCCCTTTATAAGACCATTTTAATTTAAGCAGCAGCAAATTTGTTAGAATGTGAGTCTGAAAGCATTTGCATGACCTGCTATTAGTCTTTTAAAAATGCAACTTTAATTGATTTGTCAAACTATCTGTAACCTTCCTCACTCTCTTCCCAACTAACCTGAACAATAATAAGCAGCCCCATTCAACTCTAAGTTTTATAATTTATTTTTTTTACAGATTAAAACAAAAATGTTGTTTCCATGATACCCACCATATACCATTTGCAAGAGTTAGTGCCTCAAGCTTAGTCTAAAAATCTTTGCCATATACAAACTGACGGAATTGATTAAGAGAATTAAGGTCTCTAACCAAAGAATTTAGGTGAGAGAGGTCCAATCAAGCCCAGCCTTTGCCATATTGTCAATGTCTAGTTTCATTCTAATCTGTTGTCAAGAGTATCAAGTACTGACTGTTTACTTTAGCAAGCTCAAAGTTTAGCTTTGCCTGGCTGAAGTTGTAGGTTCTGAAGTTTCATCGCCATGCCCATGTTCCCAGAAACCTTCAATTTACCTTGAAAGAAAGCCTAAAAAAACAAAAGAAAAAAACTGTATGAAATGCAATACAACACATTACCCCAAACATACCCCTCCCCAAAGTTATAGGCTATTATATATGTGCAGGTCTTGGTCTGCAGTATTATAATTCTAGCAGTTCTAGCAGACACCTTACATTATTGTATAATTCTATCTTCTGACATTGAAAGATCAAATAATAACCAGAGAAAGTTTATATTTGTGAGACCTAAAGAGAATATGTTTGATAATAGCATTTTTCTTGCATTATCAGAAAGCGGTCCAGAGGCCTGACATTCCTCCTATCTAAAGTCACATGGCAAACAGTAGCTTCCCCCTTTCTCTGCAAACCAAACATTATTATATCCACTTCTGGATTATGCAAAGGATGTCTGAGACAATACTTGTTCAGAAGAGTAGAAACTGCTGAAGTCAGGTTTATTGAGAGAAGCAAAGACTGACTTATTCAGAGAGTTAAGAACTCTCCCTTTTTCAGATCAGCCATGGCAGTTTTGGAAGAGTGGATTTATTAAAAAAACAAACAAGCAAACAAACAATCAAAAACCTTAAATATGCTCAAAAAAGCCCCCAAAATATCAGTACTATTATCCTTTCATCTTCACTGTACTTACTGTCTGAGGATTCATTTTGCCAGTCATCAGAGCTAACAGATCAGCATCAGCCATTGTAATTGTACAATCTGCCTTCTTATCTGTAAGACAGAGTCAACAACGAAGATTTAAACTGAGAAACAGAACAGTAACACAAAGTACAACTCCCTGAACAATCTGTTGATACTACAGTTCAGCACTAAGGTATCTCAAGTACCTACAAGGTAAGGGCCATTAAAAAGTATCAGCAAGAGATCACCTAATAGCCAACAGGAACCTGTGGCAACTTGTAGCACAGACCATCCCAGCACTGAAGAAAGATGGGCCTTTCTGAAAGGTGCTAAACGAGTTCATTCGTTACAAATAAAAAATAAAAGCCTTGTAATCAGATAATGTTAATTACAGGTATTCACAGTCATCTTAAGTTTTATCAAGCTTAAATTTTCTAGTATTAAGACCAACTCAGAATAAACACATCTTCCCCTGTGACACAGTGAAGATATTTATCACTGACATTTCATGCATTTCCTGCCCCGTTCTTCAGTGGGAACATGTGCATTCTAGAAGTTCTCATCTGAATTAATTCAAATCCAGAAGCTTCTGGCATCTTCTTCCCAGAAATGAGCTTTGAAAGATACTTTTAGAAGCTCAGATGTAAGTATTAATGCGTGTAACAATGGGCTAAAATCTGCACCCAGCTTTTCCTACAGTCATCACATTATGACAAAATGTTTTATGAACAACAGAGAACAGTACTTTTCTTTCTATAATATCTTAAATAAATGAATTCAAATGAAATCTAAAATCTCCTTTCACATTTTTAATTAAAAGCTTTATAAGCTTTATGATGCATGTTTATAGATACAAGATTCTGAGGACAGACTGTTGTCTTTGTCTTTTTATTTACAGTAATAGGATGCAGGTATTAAACAAGACACTTTTATAGCAAGTGTTCAAATCATTTGTTTCCAATACTTTTAATTGAAACCCACCAGTCCTTGGGTCTTATATATATCTGCCTTTTTTAAGATGGAACTTGAAGTTTATGTCAGCTAGTGCAGTATTGAAATCCGTCATTTTATTGCTTAACTAGCTGCAGAAGAGAAGCAACTGGACTAGAAAAAAAAAGTTTTGGTTTTATTTTCTAGTTCTTGCAGGAGTCATGTGACACATCTATCTGGAGCCTCTAAGAAAATATGCAACTAATCAAACAAAATTTACAGTAGAACAGATTTAAATCTTTATCTTAAAGGTCATGGATTAAAGTATTGGAAATAAGAAAACTTAAATATTAAGGTAGCTCTAACCCCAGTTTTGTTCAAGGTCACTACTGCTTTGGCAGAGTATGAATTGATAATCTTTACATTCGTTTCATATATTTCCTGCAGTGATATAGTAACACTGACCTGAATTAATTGCCACAGAGCCTTTTCCATTTTTCACGTCTACTACCCAAGTTGCTTCTTTCCCACCAGGGCCATCTTTTATTTTGAAGGCAAAGACACCACCGATTTTCTTGACAAATTGCTCTCCTTCCTGTAATGACCACGTAATGTGCACATTATTCATTTTCTTCAAAGGAATTTAGAAATAAAAACAGAGAATACTTTTTAAAAACATCTTTTTCTACTAACAAAAATATTTGTTTCCCTCTACTAAGCTTCATTTGAACATTTCAGGAAAAAAAACATATTATCTATCTCTTAAAATCTGTCAAACGAACAAACAACTATCTTAAGTCTTGTCTTGCTGTAGGTCTCACAAAATGCTCTCTCTTAATTACACTTACAAAGCAAGCAACAGACACCAAACTTGTGTTAGTTAGCAACCTCCTCGCACATGACCTAAACTTGCCTTCACTGAAATACTCTTACATAGTTAGGAAAGAAATCCTTTACAATGATGGTACAGAAGATAAAGATTTTGGACAGTGAAGATTAAAGCTGTAATATTTGTTTCAACAAGAAGTGCTAAGAAAGTGACTTATGCTATTGTATTTCCTTCAGGTTTTGCACATATTCTGTCATAAATTCAAAAGGCATTACAGGCAAAAGTAGTAGTCAAATACCTCTTCGAGCTTCTTTTCAATCTCTTTGAAGACCAAATGTGACTTAAATCCATCAACAGCTGCACTTAGAGGCACAGCTGCAACACGACCAGTGCTGAAATGCAAAAAAAAATAATTAATATATCTTTAATCATATTTTCAACACCTTCAAATTATTGTGAATAGGCCTAACACCACTGTGAACAGCCACACTGCAACAGTTCAAGCAATACAGAGCAACTACTTGTTATCTAAGCGAAGCTTACTTTCTGATGGGCTAGACAGTCTGCATTACAATCACTTCAACTATCAGCCAACTCCATTGCCATGCTGTGTGTGAAGACACAAACATTGTATGCATCATCTCAAGAACTATTTATTATTTTTTTTTTTATAAAACAAAGTCCTTTAGGAAATGAATCCAGAAGTTTTGCTGTCGTACTTCCTGAAGTGGTCCTCTTTTCTGTCATCTTACTTAGTAACTACTTTTGGTCAAATTATTTCAAAGTCTTATTAAAAAAAACTTCAAGTGACAGAATCACTTATAAAATGTTGCTACCACGTATCTGTGTGGTACTAAGAGGGAAGTATCCCTGTAGGGGTTTGCTAGGTCCACAATAGTAGGGACTGTGTCATTTGAAGACAATGCACAATTTTGCTAATAAACTAAGGTTGTAGTAACAGGATGTAAAACTGTAAGGTATCAACAAAAAAGCAGATTTGTTTTAAGAACTGATCCAAAATGAATCAAGTTCTGCTATCATTTACCGTGACATAAATTCTTGGCAACTCCTACTAAAGCCACTAATTACAGGCTAGATCTCAATCTAATGATTAGGTCCCTGTGCACTGTTGTAGAAAAAAATTGTATGAAATATCTTCATAACCATAAAATGCCACCACCTTTGCCTTACTTATGCAATGCCCAATGTTCAGTTACATAAGTGGGGTATGAACATATCAGCTGCACTGTTTCATTCCAAAGTCTTTTGTGCATTAGTGCAACTCCCTGTGCCAGGTATTTCCCACATACAAAGCCTCTGGGAGAAGTGAAGATTTCTAAGCCTCATAATGTAAGAGACGTTATTATTGCTAAGATTTCTCTGCACTGAAGAAAGAGTTAAGAAAATTCTCAATACTGATGAAGGTCAAATCACCTGTAGTAAGTAACACAATTTCTTCAAGAGAAGCCATCATCTATACAAGCAAAGCTTTTCCTGCCTAACAGGAAGGCACTACTACTTTCAGCATCTCAAGGTTAACGATGTACATATAGCAATAGATTCCCTGTTCTGTAAAGTTACAAGCTTTTTTTTTATTATTATTATTATTATTTTAAAAGATAAAGCTCAATGCAATGGAAAAAAGTGTATTAACTACATGTCTCCCTTCTGACTTAAAACTGCATACCAACACCCACTCACATTTTGTAAGCACGTTTGAAAAGATCCCGTGAGCAGACCCAAGTTTTCCCCTATCACACACATTTTCTCACATGGCCTGTCCTCTTGCAGACTAAGGAAGTGTCAGGATTACAGCTTCTGACACTACACTACAGAAAGCTACCTGCTGAAGCCCCTCAAAATTCTATTGCTGCTCTCATTACCCACTCCACAGATTATTGTCACGCCCCAGGAACTGTCCAGCTAAAACAGACATTTAAAAATGTGAGTTGGGAGGGGAATATTTCTTTCTGGAAGCCCACCATGACACATTTTACCACTCACTGTTTTTTAGAAAAAGTGAAAAATATCGGTGTTAAGCTTTAAAACCCCAAACAAAACACAAATAGTAGCTCCATTTTTCTAAACAAGGTGCAAAGTGAAAATGCAAAGGAAACTATATTAAAAAAGCCTCTTCTGAGATGTTGATATAATTATAAAATTTCATATTTTCTCTCAATTCCTGTTCATCTTAGCTTACAATTAGAGCAGACTGAGAGCACTTCATAGCAGCATTCTCCTCTTGCTCTGAAGCATGCTATAACTGCAAATAAAAATATTTTTGCCAGAACTAAATCAGTAACATGCCTGAATTTTAGCAGGTACTTAGAATATCCCATGTAACACATACAGGGGAGACCCAATTCGCCATGAAGTCACACCAGTAACAATTTTAGCAGTGAAAGCATTGGATCACTCCATTCTGACAGATGCTGCACTTTTTTTTTTTTTTTTTGACAAGGCCCTAGATTCAATTAATTTCTTCAAATCCTGTTTTGTTCTTAGAAAGGTGGTTTGAGGGTCGATTTTTGTTTTTTACTTTTTCCTCCAAACACTAGATTTGTCCTTAATTTAAGGTGGAGGAAATCACGCGGGCCAGAAATGGGCCATTTCGCTCTTTTTAGCCCACGAAGCTCCCCCACTGCGCATTCTTTGCCAGGCTCTACAACCTCCGCCTACAGCTGCGGGTCCCCAGCACTGTGAGGGCACAGCTTTCTGCCACAGCTCTTCCCAGCGGGGAGCGCAACGACACCCCTTAAATTTGAGGTAGAAAAGGGCACATTTGGAGACCTCGGGGCAGAAAGGCGACGCCGCCTCACACCCCAAAGGAGGCCTCGGCTCCGAGGCCAGCCCCGACCCCCTCAGCTCGGCCGGGCCTCGCTTGTGTCCCCCCCCCTCCCAGGGGGCCGGGGCCGGGGCCGGGTCTCACCTGCGGGCCGGGGGGAAGCCCATGCCGTACAGCGTCACCACCGCCGCGCCGCCCAGGCCCAGGTTGTGCTGCAGCGCCACCTTCGCCCCCGGCACCTGCCTCCCGCCGGCCAGGCCGCGCAGCTGCCAGCAGAGTTCGGCGCACTGCGCCAGGCCTGAAAGATGGAGCACAGAGCGCGTCGCCGCCCCGCCGCCATCTTCCCGCCGGGGAGTGGCCCCTGAGGGGAGCGCTGACCGACCCGGGGCGGCTCCGACGGGGCTGTGGGGAAAAGTGGTGTTTATGGGGTTTACACACACGCGAACAACGCAGCTGGGTGGGCTCCAGTGTAACGCTCAAGTTATGCACCTCACACTTCGCTACCAGACCTCCATCCCTCACAGGAGAGTATCTTCTGGGCTGTCAGTGCGCCGTCTTAAAAATAATTATCAAACACAACTCAGCACTGACTCGTGAATCTCCAAGACATAAACGCATCACAACCATTCCTGTTTCAAGGCAGACGCATCTGCTACCACATCCTTACAGCAATGCTCTAACATCTACCCCAAGTACCTCAGAAGCACGCATTAAGCTCGCCTCGCCATCATGGCATGCATCTCTGAGTAGAAGTTTGAATTCACGTGCTAAATCTAACAGAAAACTGTGACAATCTTCTGAAAACTTTTTTTTCTTCCGCACTACAAATGCCTACTATTCAAAATGCCCATAACAAGTTAGCACTATACTACAACACTACATATAGTAGTATACTATATCTATACTATTTATAGATATACTATACATACTATCTAGTATATATGATATATACTATATCTAGTATATATAGATATATATATATATACACTATATATATACTATAGTATATACTCTAGTATATATACTAGATCTAGTATATAGTATATATACTAGATACATCAGAACATAGTATACTGTAGAAGAGTCCTAGAATACACAATTGTGATTTAAAACTACTGCTGGACCAAGGTCATTAACGTAAGGAAGAAACGCTAACAGGTATACTCCACAAACTTCCTTCCCTAATAAGATATTACATTAATACATGCAGTATGATTTGAGAATGTGAAGTCTTCAGAGCTCAGCTAACCAGAAAGATTATTTTAGTGAGGCTGAAAACAAACATGAATTCCTTTTCACTAGTCTTGATTTCAAGGTTACATTTACCTTTTCCCTCCCCCTACCACTCCATCAGCCATTTCTGCAATTCTCATCCAGTTCACATTTCTTCCCCCTTACCATCCACAGAACCCTGTCCCTTGCCATAGGCAGCTACACAGTCCTTTGGGCAAGACAGGCAGAACCTGCATTTTATGCACTGAATTTTACACATTGCCAAGCTATACATTAAGGAAGGGATGAGTAAGAAGTTTCATAATTCCAGTCATTTATGAGAGTTAGCAGGTTCCATACACACACTCTTAGCTTCAAGGAGAGAACGTGTACCATGGGACAACCTGCCCTGGAGTGGTTTGGAAAATTAAGATGACTTATATGACCTCTGATTAGCATATAGCTATCCTCAAGACTGATTTATAGTGAAATTAACCTGACTGCCTGTAGACATGTAATTTTCTGCATTTTAATGGCTCTCCCCCTCAATCCACTGAAATAGAGAGAAGCACAAATACCAGTAATTGCCTCTACATTTATCACTGTAGAAATGACAAAAAATTAACACATACCTAGGAATGGAATTCTTATATCTAGTCACAGATTCCAGTTAAATGAGAACATGAGAATGTTCTTCTTCCAACGTTTTCTAATACTCCCCCCCCAAATTAACTGGGGATTATCTAGATATTACAGCTATTTAGGTCAAGGTTTGTTGTTTTTCAAGGTTTCATCTCCAGCTTTCTGCCATGTAATCTTTTGCAAGCAAAGAAGGTGAATTATCCTCACAAATCCAAACATGTTATTCAAGAGGCATTTCATGGAAGCAAGCACAGATAGCTTAAAAAAGCATAGAAAAAGGAAAACTTATGTTGCTGGGAAACAGCGACTAACAGTGAACTTCTGTTGTAATAACATCAGATAAATATTTTGACATCCAAGACTTCACAGAAATAGCTTTATTACAGCTAACAATGGTACAAGCTATTCAAATGTGATAACTATCTCCAAAATCTGAATCTTGAAGTATGACTACATATGAAAATAGTTATTGAAACTATAATCATCAGAAGTTGTATCATTAAGCAATTATTTAGGGGGAAAAAAAAAAAAGCTGTTTCGTAGGTTGCTTTAATATCAACAGAAAAACAGCTCTATCAAATTAAACAAGTATTAATGATCTAACTCACACTCCAAGTCTTTTGGTTTGAGCAACTCTGCATGGTCAACTTGCCCTAATATTTGCATTAGTCAGAAATGAGAATCAACTCCAGAGCTCCTCCTAATTTCCTGAAATCCTCATTTCTTTCATACAAATACAAGTGGGAAGCATCTGTCTGGTCAAGAACAGTATCTCATATCTTAATTCATGACTAAATAAAATATTTTTGCATTACCTGTAGCACCAAGTGGATGTCCCTTTGAAATCAAGCCACCACTAGGATTCACAACCCATTTTCCTCCATAAGTATTGTCTCCTCGGTCAATCAGTTCACATGCTTTTCCTAGAGAACAGTATTTATAAAAGAAAAGTGTTCATTATTTTATAAAAATTGTTTTTCATTTCGACTGGCACTAAGCAAAGATGCTGCAAATACTTCCTGTCAGTCAATAAGAAATACAGATACCACAGATTTTACAAAGGGTAGACTGAAATTTGCTAAACATTAACAAGACTTGTTGATGCTACTAGAGAAAGAATGTGGATTCCACAGTAATGTGGAAAAGAAGCAAAATGTCTAGTATCTGATGGCTTTTTTTAATTAGCAGTTCAACTATTTTACTGTTATACAGTAGTATGATAGAATCAACACAATGAAGCTATTCATTGCTTTATTAATGAAACTACAATGAACATTATGTTTTTGTAAAAGAAAGGCTAATTGTAATTTGCAACTGCTGTTAATATATTTTTATTTATCTCCAATAGAGATTACTTGCAAGATTATCAACACTGAAGAGCTCATGCTTACTGAAGCTTCATCTGGGTACCATCACACTTCTCAAAACATTAAGTGTGAGATTTTAATTTGCAAAATCAAAAATAAATAAATAAATAAATAAAAAACCCATATCCCTGCAGAAGCAGGGAGCGAACTGACAACTCTGTCACACAAGTGTCCTGCTGGGCACAATGCTGAACATGACCCAACAACATGCCCTTGCCACAATGAAGGCTAACTGTATCTTGGGCTGTATTAAAACATTAATATACCAAATAAAATGATCACTCATATGACTAATGCTTAGAATTACTTAGTATCCAGCCTATTAGTTCCCAATCCTCCAGCAGATAGTTCTCCCCTTAACTAGTTCCTTGGTCTTTTATTCTTGTGCTAGCATCTTCAACCTACTTGACTGATGTCAAAGTGTAAAAATAAAAACCTAAAACAAAACAAAACAAAACAACAAACAAATTGCTGCATTTCCTGTATTTACAACATACTTCTGCCCTTAAATGAGAATGTCGGGTTAGTCTTGCACATCTAAATCCACAAATTTATACCATTCCATTAATCTCTAAGTCTTAATTAGTCTGTCCTTCCAAGCTTCCAAGGTAAGTTTCACATACTTTGAGGTCAGATTAAAAGTTGGAGAGAACTGCACAATTAAATAGTTACCAATTTACCATATACAAAAATCATTAGTCAAATAGACAAGAACCATTAGAATTATACTGCATTTTTGATTAAAGGAATTAAGCTAAAATGCTTAAAGTATATTAAATAATGTCAATAATTTTCCATATTACTGAAGATATCATAAAAATACAGCAAAGAAGGCAGTAAAGAGTAAGCATTCAAGGGCAAGCATTAGAAGACCTACAAACACATAAAAGAAACTTTCCTGAAGACCTATGAAGTTGTTTCACTGAGAATACTCAGACTTAATGCAACACACCATCTAGTGACAGTATATGATATTTTCTCAAAATGCTTAAAAACAAATTGAAGAAAGACTATCAGATGATTATCTATGTAACAGATGAATAATTTGGCATTTGAATAGATTAAATACTGAAGTAGCAGTTCAATTAATAATTTGAACTCAAACTAAAACCTCTTAAACTGAAAACTTCATTAGTTTGACTTATATGCATAAAATTAATTTCCATTACACTAATTTAGATAGATGAGCATTGTTATATAATTCATTTTAGAACCTCTGCAAACAATTCTCTGTATTTTTAAAGACAAAGATGTTTCAAGATTTTTAAAAGACACAAAGTCAGATAACTTGTTTAGGCCCTCTATGGGTAATTCTTGTTTATTTTTATCTTCCTCAAAAGGAAATACAAAGATGGGTGGAAATCTCAGGGTAAATAAGAACATATCCCTGAAAAAGGTTGTAATTCTGAGAAAGATTAGAGTTCTTAATCTCCTTGTCCTGCTTGCTTAGAAGAGCTACTACTGCACAAGCTAGCCATATGATTTTGTATAGCTGTCCAACACTTTAATCTGCCTCGTGTACTTCTCTAGAAGTCACAGTAACTTGTTAAATGAACTCTACAGTTTATTGGTCTTCTTTATGTTACTACATTGCTAGCTTGGTTTTTCCTCTTAGGAGGTTAGCAGTAAGATATTCAAATATATAAGTTGTCTAACGTACAACTCAACGTTCTAATTATAGGAAGAGGCTAAAAAGATATTTTTAACACTGCCCATTTTATTAAAACAATGATCTTCACTGATGCTATTACCTTCTGGACAGAGTCCAAGAGCTTCATAGGTAATGAACTCATTAACTGAGAAACAGTCATGGAGTTCAATCACATCAACATCAGCAGGTTGTAGACCTGCTTGTTCAAAACATTTTTCTGCAGCTCTTTTAGTCATATCATAACCAACCTGTAAGAAGTACAAATCACAAGTTAAAATATCATTAAAGAAGTAATTGATTTCATTTCTATGCTTAATTTTTAATGTGCCTCTATTCATCCTGTAAGTGAAAATAACCTGTCACAGGTGGCATTCTAATGTACTTCAATGCATCTTATATCATAGCCTTTAATTTCCACATAGTATGAATTATATAGAAAGAAAGAATACATTCTAAACCAGTTCTTAGCACACAGAAACTTTTCTGGGGCATTTCCTTTATTTTCTCAACCTTGCTTACTAGCCAAATTGCTCCTTTGTGTGACTTTGTCTCTAGTGGGTATTCTAATGTTTTGACTTTAATCCAATTATTTTGGTCAGTTTGCAGTGGGATTTAAATTTTGCAGTTCAAGTCTTTCTGTTCATTCTGCTTAAGTAATCATGACTATACATGACATAGTATTTCAGTTCCAATACAGCACAGACATAAGTAAAATAGGTTCACATGAGATAAACTATGTTTCTTTCTGTTCAAACTGTTAATAGGTAGCCTCTAAATAATTTGTTGAAAACTAGATTTTAAATACTTATAGATTTCTTACTGCTATTGCATAACTGTACTGTTTGTCCACTCCACCTGTCAAATCAGTCTTTTTACATTAATTATAACTTGTTTGCTTACTGACATAGAAATGTCTACAGGATCATTAGGACTCTCAAGTATTATAAAGGAAATTCCAAACATCACAGAATACAGGATGGTATACCTACCACCTTCAAACAACTTTTCTCTTCAAATGTGCTTGGATAATCAGTAGCCATCACCTGGGCTAGAATTTCCACAGCTTGAGACTGTAAATGATGCTCTTTCACAAACTCCTCATTAGCCAGAATTGCAGCTGCAGCACCATTTGTTGTTGGACTAATTGAAAGGAAAATAATGTCATCATTCTAAATTATTGTCAGTCTTCCATAGAAGTACATTTGAAAACAAAGAAAAAAAGTGTTTTGGCTGATACCACTGAAACTAAGGATTTCAGGAGTGTTTGGAGGAAACGTTCAATTTTTAATGCTACTTCAGTAATATTTATACAACAATTGAACACTGTGACATCTAAAAAGTAGAAAACATTTAAGATGATCTGTAACTTTTAATTTAGAAGTAAGCAGACTTATTTAAATAGGTAGGTGTGCTACCACATTTGTCAGAGTATCAAGATTTATTTCACAATGCTAAGTCACTTCCTTACCAACACTGCAAGACAGTCAAGTAATCAAAAATTTTGCGAGAATTCAGAACTTCATCTAACGTATACTCCTCTTGGAACTGGGAATACCTTAAAAAAAAAAAAAAGAAGATGCTATCTTTAGTTTCAGTTATAACCCTTATCAATATATCATCAGGGAACTGTATAGCTGTTTTTACTAAATACAAGATATAGGATAAAGAATTTATTCTGGGTATAATTCCCATTTCATAATAAAGAATGTACTCTGCTAGGTACTTCTAAAATAATATCCAATTTTGCATGAATTTTTTAGCAGCAACAGATGTTTAATACTGAGGTGGAATGCTTTACTCACGGGTTGTTGGTTGAATGACTGTGATTCTTCCATGCAATTTTTGCGAAGTATTCTGGATTTGTCCCTGGAAGGAGAAAGCAAGCTGTGTTGAAATACCTGGTTTACACAGACAGTGCTATCATAACTTTTAAAATATTGTATTAGTGTCATAAGAAATTGACCTTCACAAGCATTTCTACAAGAGACTCATTGTTTTGAAACTTTCTTTTGAACTCACCATAGGTGTAAAAACTAGATAAAGACTACTAATACTGATTAAGTTTTAGCTAACAGAACATCATGCTTGGACATTTATCACTCAGTAACATAACATAGAGAAAATAAGCATGTTTTATTTGAGGTATTACTATATTGCTGGAACTTGAACACTCATTTTCATAGCAGAACAAAACAGCTGTGGTGAAATATTGGACTCCTTATTTTTTTCCATATACTAGCCTAAACATACATGTAAATTAAACATGCTTATCAGACTGGGCATGCTACCTGGGAGGCAATTCCCTTATCTCTTGAAAGTATGAGAAACGACAGTGGCAACAGCCTAATCCTATATATTTAATCAAACACTCAAAAATTTTTGTAACAAAATTTAGTCACAAACCTACCTACCCATCCTAAGACAAAAGGGCAGAATGCAGAAAGTTATGCAATCATATTGCACAGACCTTCCAGAAGCACAAGCAATACCATTAAGGTAACTAGCAGACTCTCTATCACAGGCTTAATTTTATTTCCCAATAGTATTGTTTGCCTACCCCTCACCTACTTTTCTGGAGACAACCCTACACCCAGTACAACTATGCAGTTGTAGCACTCATGTAAAAGAGACAACATTGAATACTTTTTTTTTAAATGAAATTATAGTGTATATATTTTAAATCACTTCTACTAAAAGATGATAATGGCAAAATATATTTTGACAATACCGTATTTCTCCATATGTTCTTTGCCAGCACTTGCAAACATCTGAGGTGCTACTGGAGCACTTGCTAAGCCATATTTATCTATCATGATTTCCAAGTGTTTGTCCAGAGGATTAGTTCTGTCCATAAACTAAAAAGAAGAAAAATAGTTAAAAAGCAAGTCATAATTTCCTCATGTTTACAACATCCTCACAAAAGTGCCATGGATTTCAAGCAAAATAGAGGGTTTTTTTTTGGTATTTTAACAATTCCACTAGACTATATGTTCGTTGCATTTCAGCAACATGTTTTGAAGCTTTCACTGATATCCCAACTGTGAGAGTAAACAAGCAGAAAACAATTAGCATTGTCATCATGACACTGATTTGTGTCAAGGACCACCACTAACTGATTTCTATCACTGCTTTCAAAAGAGGACTTTGGGTATTTTTCACCTCAACTTAAAACTCTACAGTTAATATAATCCCAAGTTATAAAACTAGTACTTCATTTTCAATTGAAGCTTAGATGAACTTCTGTAAAGCACGTTAAGGTTAACTCTGACTCATTTCAATTAGTTGTTTAATTTAACATTTCTCACCCATACCTATGCATAGATTATCAGATTTCATAGTTCTGTACTTAAATGAGATACAGACTTGCCATACGGCAAAACACAAACCCCATACTTCTCCAATAAAAACAAGAAAGGGACAGAAAGAAAGGTTTACTGAAGCCCTAAGTTTTGGAGGAAGCATGTTAACTAGTCAATCAAATAAGCATCAAGCCAAAAGTCCAAGATTCTTTCTTTAATTTGCTCTGTCATTTTGAGAAAGATGAATCAAATGCTCAACGCTTCAGTATTCTACCCTGATATTTTCATTACTTCCTATTAACCCCAACTGAAAAATATCTTTGTGAAGTACTAAAAGCCTGACAGACTACATACAATCAGTTCTAAAACATACAACATTTGCATATCTGAGCTGTAATCAGAGTCATAGAACTCATTACAAGTTTCTGTGATTCAAAAGAAAAAAGGTTTCTTCTAATTATCTACAGGAACATGTTAAAGTCGCTGGTATTTATAAGGATGTCACAGAGAATTAAGAGGTGTTTTCCATCTACTGCTGCAGTGAAATGTATAAAGTTTTCAGACACTTACACCTGCAGGAATGGATCCTTTTCCCATTTTCTCAAAGCCAAGTGCCAGAACACAATCTGCCAAACCTTAAAATAAAATTTTGGCTATTTGAAACAAAACTTAGATATAAATGACAATATGTCCTATGTTACATTATGTTACTATGTTGCAATAAATATCCATAAACATCTACCAGCTGTTCTTCCTCCTTTCTTAATTTTTAAAACAAAGTCAAGTTGGATTAGGAATGGCATTGATACAAAAACATTGATACTGAAGATTAAGAGATCACTAGAGGGTCTGGGATTATGTTTGAACAGTTCTCCACAGTTTGAGAGCATTTACCTTACATGATCAAGCACTTATGGCTCTGTCACAAATACTAGAATAATCACTCCACGTTACTGCAGTTTTTGTTATAGAAGCATAAGGAATTAAGCGCAAGAAAGTATCAAAATCAACAAAGGAACTGCAGAAACAGAAGGAACGACTTGTATTTGTACAAGTAAAAAGTATGAATTACTGGACTGTAGAGCAGAATAACTCACCTCCCTCTACCAGTTGTCTGGCCATGAACAAGGCAGTAGATCCAGTGGCACAGTTGTTGTTAACATTAATGATAGGAATGCCAGTTAAACCCAAAGCGTGGTAGATGGCCCGTTGTCCACAGGTTGAGTCACCTTTACACAGAGACATAACATAAAGTAAGGTACATACTCAAGCTTCATTAGCTAAAAGAAATCCCACTACATGTATACAATGCTACTGGTTAATCTGTAAACTTGAAATTTTGAACCATCATCTCAAGCCTCTCCCAAGTATGCACAGTACAAGAGCCTTAGGAACAAGATGAATAATCAGACCTTAAAAACAGAAGTTTGTCCTGCTTCTGCAAAAACCACTTGTGAATCAATCGGAAGTAATGGGACTGGACAGAAGGGTCGCAGAGGCACGACTTGGAAGCTGTTGCAGCTGTCACAACTAATTAACCCTACTTCAGTTACCGTAGTACAGCCATTAATAGAGAAACAGGAAGAAAATAAATGGAAAACTCTCTCCTGTATAGATACTGTGGACACCCCAGTTTTGTCTACATCAGCTGTGAAGCATTAATTTGTAGCCATACTAATGTATATACTCTCAACAGGCTAACATGATACATTAACTCATGGTTATGTTTTTAATGTATCCCTGGGATTAAAACAGTTACGAATCTGACAGAGCAGAACTTAGCTATATCACTTAAGAATTAAGCCTCATCATCTTCTACGCTCTTGGGCTGAAAGTACAATGACAGAGCTGATCCCCAAAATAACTCTTAAACTCAAGAGCACTGGATAAACAAACATACCCACTCTAGTGTACAGCCTCAATGCTCAAATAAGAATTAAAACTATATTACAGTTTTCAAGTCTATTGCCATGAACAGTAAAATAAGCAATTTTTTCATCAGTTGAATAAATATACCACCTGACCTTGCGGAAAGAGCTACTTGTATAAAATATATTTGCAAGACAGTTTTTTGGAGTTCTTATGACCAGCAACTAGAACTGTAAAGTCCGCAAATAAACAGACATAGATCCACGCTTATTAAAAATAACAATAATTACAAAAAAAAAAAACATGTTTCATACAGTTCTACAAATTGATGTGATTAAATATTATTATCTGAAATTGATGGGATCCCCCATACTTTATCCACACAGATGTAGATAACATTTATCCATACGTCTGTAAGTCTTACAGAGGCCGTATCACAACCAAAAGATGTTACTCACCATAAACATAACCCACACATGCCTGCTTCACTGCTGAATAGGGAATCCCAGCATCAGCTAAAGCCTTCTGGCCTAAAAAAGTTAGAAGTTGGAAAGGGAAGGAAAAAAAAGTTAGAAGGGAAGAAAAAAAAAAGAAAGAGTTGGAAAAAAAACAGCTATCACAAACTAGGCTTGCTTGTTATGTCTAGTATGCACAATTTATGCATCCGCATAAACACCAAAAGTGTAAAAATGCCTTACTGTATCATGTGAATGGTTAAAAAAGTCCTGCATCTTAACTCTCTTTAGGACAGTCTTGCAGTATTTTGAGTTTCAAGCAAGTTCCTTTACCAGAAAATGCTACCTAATCCATTCTGTATTTATCTGGTCCCAACAAAAATACGTTTCAGTAGTACAGACAGATATGAAATGATCTAAGTGTCCAATTCAATCTTAAGCTATCCTTTTAACTTTAGTACTGGAAGACAGTGATTTTAAGAGGTCAGCTACAGATTTTGTGAAAGTTTTCCTTCTTACCAGTTTTAGATTTGCTTTTTATATGTATCTACTTACTAAACAGATGTTCCTTCATATGTATAATAAGAAGATTAAGTTTAAGACTTAAAATATGTGCCAGCAGTCAAACTAAATGTGTTGTGTTTTAATTATTATTATTATTAAATTACCTGCCTCCTTAGCCAGGTCAGGGTAATCAGGGCTCTTCTCACTAGGCTTTACAAACTGACAAGAAAAAAAAAAAAAAAATAAAACAGTGAAATTCAATACATCCTTTGCTCCAATTGGTATGTTTAAAAGCTATATAGATAACTCAGGAATAGGTTTGTGAACAATCAGGTTAAAAAAAATGCGAACAATTTAACTGACCCAAAAGTGCATACACAAAATCTGCACAATCCCCAGGTGTGACTGCCAAGACCCTGCCATGACTTCAAAAAAAAAATCATAGTCCAAGTTTATGGAAGCAGAAGACCATTTTTGCTCAGTCTTAAAGAAGATTCAGACTTGTACGTCCAATGGACAATAATGTTGGCCAAAGCCTGTGGACGGGACAGAGGACAACTGCCATCTTCACTGAAGCATTACAATCCATGACTTTATCTTCTCAAATGCATTGATAAATACTTCCATTCTACTTTATTTTGTTCTACTCCTATTCACAATACTTCTTCTTTGCACTGAACTTAATTCCTTACAAGCCTCCCTTCAAGCCTTACTCCACTTTGCTACGAATTGGAACATCGGACTTTGCCCCTCACGGCTGGAGTCCACCAACACATTTGTTTTCTTTTCTATGTCATTTACAAAAGCGTCACTGCTCAAAAAAAATCATCTCTCTGCTTCCAGCTCTACGAATTATTTGATGTTCACAGTCATTAAATTGAAATATGCTGTCTCCTTACGCTTACCTCCCCAGCAACACTTAGCCGTACTTTCTGCTGTGCTGCCTTTCCTTAACTCTGGCTGAGAGCCTTCATGCCGAAGGTCGTGAGAAACGTCAGTCAGTGACTTGCAAAGTCTGAACAAGACCTGTTTTAATGATGTTACTAGAGCTAATAAAGAGGTAAAACAGAGCACTGGCAACCTCTCAGATGCCCCCAGCTGCTGTGACCCATTTCCAAAACCGAAGGGCATGGCCTGGGTGCCTGACAGCTGCACACGCAGCACCACGTTGTTTTGCTCGTTTTTTAGCACATCACTCTTAGGTTTAACACTAGAGAAAGGATACGATCCTAAAACCCTTCATAATAAAATGCCTCAGGTGTAACAGTCTGACAAGTTTTACCCTCCTCTTCCACACTATCACTCCTACCCACACAGCAACAAAATAAAGCTCTGAAAGCTGTCCTTTTTGCTGACTACCCCAGCAAGCACCAGCGGTCCAGCTCCACCGCCGAGCTGGGTTTTAGGAAAGCCCCTGAAGCAGCTGCTCGGCTTTGAAGGGCGCCAGGGGCACCTGCTCCGAGCTCCCCTCAGACACGCTCCGGGGGGAGCCGCCGCCGAGCCAGGCCCCGCGGTGCGGTGCCGGTGCCGGTGCTGGGGCCGATGGCGGGCGGGCAGCGCCGTACCTTGGTCATGCCAACGCCGACCACGAACACCCGGCGCTTCATCCTGGCGGCAGCACGGGCCCCGGCTTCCCTCACAGCCCCCCTGATAGCGGCAGCAGCTGAACCGAGCGAAGAGGCGTGACACCGCCACCGCCCCCTTCCCACCCCTTCCTCCTCACGGCGCAGCGCCGAGGCCTCGTCCCCTCAGCGCCCCGTTCCCGCCTCCGGCCGGGGCCGCGCGACGCCATGTTATGGCTGGGGCCGGGCCGGGCTGGGGGGCGGCTGCTGCTGCGCTGGGCCCGCGGAGGGGCCCCCGCGGCCGTCCCGCGGCGGGGTGCGGAGGTGCTGGTCGGCGGGGAGGGCGGCGGTGAGTGCGGGGGGAAGCGGGGCTGGGCCGGGCGACCGGCAGCGAGGTACCCCCGGCGTCCCCCCGTGCCCTCCTGGGTGGCCGTGAGCCGCGGAGCCGGCGGGCGGCAGCGGGTGAGGAAGGAGGCGGCCGCCTTCAGGAAATGGTCGCAGCCCTGGAAAGCAGCCCCGGAGCGCCCAGAGCCCGGTTTGCAGAGCACAAGGGCAGGGGGCAGAGGTGGCTGTGGTCGCGTATTGCCGCCTGGACCTGGCGGTGTTGGGTGAAGTCCTGCCCGCTGAGGGGCTCCTTAGCTGTAAGCGAATCGGGGCTGCAATTCCCGAGCAGTTCTGGAGCGTGAACTGGGAGTTCGTGCTGCCCACGTGTAATTAAAGGTGTTTTTTTTTTCATTATGGGACATAGTTGAACACAATAACACCGTGCATTAAAACCTGAGATAAGTAGCACTTAAACCAGAAACCTAACACAGATTTTTTTCCCGTTCCTGCAGTGTTTCTAAGACACATTCCTGGATGTCATGCTTGGTTTTTAAACACCTGCTTATTTGTTTTATCTGTAATGCTGTCGAATCTTGTCCATCCTGCAACACTGGATGTCATAGGCAGTTTCCTGGCACTAATTTTCCTGGATTTCGTGGCACCTCCACTTTTAAAATAATGGATGGCTTCAGAATGTACTTACATGCGTTTTCAGGGAAGAGAAGATGCTGCATTTGCAGATATTGTTCCCAGTTGAATTACTGTGTCAGCGTATTAAATGAAGTGTAACTGAAATTGTCTCCTATTACTAAGGTATTGCTGAAATCCTAATGAACCGACCCCATGCAAGAAATTCATTGGGAAAAGTATTTGTAAATGAAGTGAGTATGGCCCTGACCTGTAAATGTGTTTGGGATCAAGTTTGATAGTTCAGTGTGATGAGAATAAATGGTAAATCAGAAACAAAGTCTTAATCTCTTGCAGAGTCAGCGGAGGCTGCGTTTGGAAGAGGCAGATTGTTGTGTGTCAATATTGCAGTAGCTTCAGAGGGGGAGCAGACACATTGCCATTATTTAAGTCAGCTAACTCAAATTCAAGTTAATATCATCACTTGAGTAATTACAACAAAGTCATACTTGTTGTCACACCATAGCAGAGGTTTGGTGCTCTGCTCAAGGTTGATACCTTCCAGCAAGCGTCTGGCTTATTCTTTGTCAGGCAGGAGGGTTTAAGGGACAGCAAGGGTTCATCTTGGACTGGCAGTAAAAAATAGATGGGGAAAGCTGTTGTTCTGAGGCTGTCATGGAAGAATCCTGCTTGTTTTACGTATGTGATTTCCAGGAAATTCCTGGCACCTTCACAGGAGTAAAAAAGGGGGGGGGGGGGGTTAAAAAGGCATAGATTAGGAGTTTGCTATAACTTTGGTATATACATCTATATGTTTAAAGATTTTCTTCTTTTATTTGTACTCTTACAGCTTTTTAGCGCTCTGGAACAGCTCCGCTTTGATGAGAAAGTTCGTGTGGTGGTGTTCAAGAGCGAAGTGAAGGGCATATTTTGTGCTGGTAGGTAACAAGGTCTGCAAACTACTGTTAAAAAAAATCACTGGCTGCTAGGGTTGTATGCTGATCAGATTGTGTAGAAAAGCAGTTGGAAATGCATGCTAAAAGAGAAACAGGTTGGCTTTTGAGTAGCAAATAACACGTTCTCTCTTCTGCTTGTATGTCTCTCTGCTTTAGTGATAAAGACGTGTGACAGTGAGCCACGCAGGCTCTGTGGCTCACACCCTTTCTTCTCTGTGCTATCCTTTGTTTTCCGTATATAACCACCTTCAAGCCCAGGTGCCTCTGGTTCTGGAGTCCTTGGTTTCCAGTTTTATGGATTAGGATCATAGATTGGTGCTCCACTGAAATCTGTTCACAGGGTATACTCTAGCCACTGCTCCAACCCAAATGTCTACATTCCAAAGCTTCCCACGACCTTACTTAACCAGAATACTACATTTCAAGACTTCTGAAGTGGTCTGTCCTGAGGCATGGCAGAAGGGAGTACAGTTGAGATGTCTCTTTCCCTGAATTCTTACCATTTTGTCTCGTGCAATTTAGGTGCGGACTTAAAGGAGCGTGCACAGATGGATGATGCAGAAGTTGGACATTTTGTTAAAAGGCTGAGAAATCTCATGGATGAAATAGGTAAATGATTATCTCAATTGGAAAATTTGTCTCCGACTGGCTCCTCAGGTGGCTCCAGCTTAGGCCTGATACAAAGATCTGATGAGAGCTAAATACCAACTATACTGCTGCCATTCCAAGGACAAAATTACATTTCAGTACTGACTTCTCTAAGATGAAGAGCAGTGCACAGACATACATATACGTATCTGCTTTTAACAAAGCATTCTATATAAAATTTCATGTAATCCTTGGGAAACAATGCTAGAAAAAATGAGTGATGTTGGTTGCCCTGCTTTTAATATATACTCAGAAGTGCTCCTGACATGGTGCTGACCCAACAACAAGGGACTTGGACCTCTGAATGTATTTGCTGAGTGTCAGGGTTGTGGTGTTTTTTTTTTTGTTTGTTTTTTTTATATATCTGATACTTCCCACCCCTCTTTTTTTAGGTCTCACTAGAGAGATACCAAAGTCAAATCTGTCTGAGATACCAGTCAGAACAGCAGGACAGTCATAATGAAGAACTACTAAATACTTTAGAATTTAGGCATTTAAAATTTCCAGAAGTGAGTGCAACAGAATTCTGGGAACAAAAGTTTATAATCTGTATTGTCTTTTCCAGCTGCCTTGCCTGTACCCACAATTGCTGCAATAGATGGCTACGCATTGGGCGGTGGACTAGAAATGGCGTTAGCTTGTGACCTTCGAGTAGCAGGTTTGTGTGTTGCTTAATGTAGGGTTCTTGTAATCGGTGACTATATTTTAAAGAGAGCATATCCTTGTGATAGCTGACTTACTAGAAGCCAGTAGGCTAGAAGAGGAACTTACACAGTTCAGGAAATGAGTAGGCATTTGTCCAGATGCTGTGACGTTTGGTTTCTATTGGGGAAGTAATTTCCTTACATAAAAAAATACAGCCTATTTTTAGACAATATTAGACAATTCCTCTAGAAAACTACTAATGGGATTCAATAGTTCTTATGAAGTATTGCATCAGCACTCTGGTTAAATCTAACTTTTCCTACTTAAATCAGCTTGGAACAAAAGCCTCGATTCTTTCATTTCCATTCTTCTGTCCATTACAGTTCATCTACTGTGGTACCCAAGGTTCATTTTTCTATATAAAAATGCTCCATTAGGGGTAAGCAGCCATATTATATATCCCTCATCTGACTTGAGATGGACATTGATTAAGCAATTTCTAGTAACCTGGAGAAAAATAAAAACTAAACTGCATACTTTCTTTTCTGTTGTTATTAAATAGCCTCATCAGCTAAAATGGGCCTTATTGAGACCACAAGAGGGCTTCTTCCAGGAGCAGGTACCTTCATTATATACTCGGTCTCTTACTTACTCAGCTGTACAGCAAATATTTTGCCATTAGAGCACCCGAAGTGTGTTCTGTTTTGGTTTTGAGTTTAAATAACATCTTCTAGTGACCCAGGAGATCTCTGAATTGAGAACTGTCTCTGACTTGCTGTCAATCTAGGAAAGCCCCTTTACTCTTTTTCCACTTTATCAAAATATTCACAGGGATGCTGAAGATTTTCAGATGCTTTGCAAATGTTGACATGTTCAGCAAGTAGTTGTTAAAAGAAATACATGGTCCCTTCATTTTTCAGACTTCCTTGTTACATAAAGAGACAAAATTCTGTTGCTTCCTTTGGCACTTCTAGAAATGGTAAACAATGTTCTTGCTCTTGTCATAAGGTGGAACCCAGCGCCTGCCCAGATGTGTTGGAGTAGGTCTTGCAAAGGAACTCATTTTCACGGGTAGACAAATTGATGGACAAGAAGCCTTCTCAATGGGATTAGTAAATCACGCAGTACCCCAAAATGAGGAGGGAGATGCAGCTTACCAGAGAGCATTAACTTTAGCCAAAGAAATCCTTCCTCAGGTCAGTATATTATTTGTATTGTCAATGCAAAGAAGTAATTTCTGCTTCCCTTAAGAAAGAACAAACAACTGAAATTCCATTTTGTGAAATACTAAAGTCTTGGTACCTGAAAAAGTCTAATTCTGACCTTTCTTGTGAATGCAGCTTCTGCAGGAACTTAGCATCCAGTTGCTTAACCCATAGGACAGTTTTCCTCCCAGACCTGCAAGACATATTGACAGCTTGCACTGTGTACATCTCTTACTAACTGTAGATAATGCCAAATTCTATAAGTACTTAACTAACTTAGTGCAAATTTCTATAGATTAAAACTCAATTGGAGGTAGGGTAGTGCTACTACTATAACTGTTGTATTGTGAACCAGTGTGGCTTCAATTATTTTAAAGTTTGTTGCTTTTTTTTTGTTTTGTTTTTAATAAAGGCTCCAATTGCTGTGAAAATGGGAAAGCTGGCAATAAACAGAGGAATTGAGGTAATTTTTTAAAAAATACTGAGGTAAAGGAAGCAGATAAGCAGCTCTTTGAAATTACTACAGTAAAAACGTTTATAACAGATAAACTGTAATCCTTGTTTAAACAAGGCATTTAGACACTTTTCGGGTTCTTTTAAAGACTTGCTTTAAAGACAAAACTAATACAGGATTTTGTTCTACAGATTGTAGCACTCCCGTTCTAATACAGCAGTGAAGTTTCACGCTGGTCACTAAATATGAATGTTTGTTTTGAGGGTGTCTCTCTGTTCTTTTCTCTCATCTGCAGGTTGATATTGCATCAGGGATGGCCATTGAAGGCATGTGTTATGCCCAGGTAGGTTACCTTCAGCCTATGTTCCCAAAAAGAGTAATTACTGCACATTTTCTAAAGCCAGATACTGCAGCATCCTACTGTATTTTCTCCTCTATAACAGAAGACAGCTGAACAGTTAAATCTGAAACTTTGAAAAATAATTCAAGTGCAGTTCCAGATGTCTGTATTATAGCGTTAACTGTTCATGCATAGCTGCCTCTCTCAGCCTGCCTGAGACCAAATTCCATCCTTAAATAAATAACCTTCAGTGGGAAGTTACTGTATAATCCTGCAGTTTCAGCAATACATTAATTACAGTGTGAGTTTTACTAACAGTTTTCATCTTAAACTGAGATTCCTCCCATAGTCATTCTTTCTGACAGGTTTTGAGAGCAGGTACCTTTCTTAATTAACCATTTAACTACTGTGCCTCTCAGGACTACTAAATGAATGGAAAACTTTATGTAATTTTCTTGATTTCTGGTCTTTGTCTTGGACACTGTGATTTTTACTACAACCCTGTCTCTTTTTTTGCCTAATGGCTTTTGCTTCAATGGTACATCTTGCAATCTGCAGAGGATCTGAGACCACTACTTCCAAATTAATTGGTACTTAAAAATGATACTAAATTTGTCAAATAAATGCTTTTTTTTTTAAACACAGAATATTCCCACAAGAGACCGTCAGGAAGGGATGGCTGCCTTCAAGGAGAAACGACCACCTCGGTTTATTGGCAAATAATGCTTCCTGGCTTCTCCCTTCCTACCTCCCCAACCCCAATTTTAAAAAAAAAAAAAAAAGTAGGCATGAAGAGAGACACACTAATTTCTTGGGATTATTTTTATGACTCCACTCTGTATACTTGGCTCCTTGCCCTGGACTGCATTTTTGAATACTCCACTGGATCATTTGCTCTTATCAAATAAAGATTTAAATTTGTACATCTGATCTTCTTAAAGAACATATACCTTTCCTTTCTTTGTTCTGAATGTGAAACAAGGTGGTACTAAGGCAGTACAGGGTTGTAGGTTGTTAACTAATTATTAATGTCAGGATAGACTGTCCCTAGGAGCCTCTGATTTATAGGTTGAATTCACAGATCTCACGGATCTAGCTTTTAACCCAGTTCTCATGCATGCTGCTCAGTTCCCCTTTTGTGGCTGAGTTGATGACTGCAGAATAATGCGTGTGGGCCAGGGTGGGGAGCAGAACTGCTGTTTTCAGAGGCAGCATAGCCTGATCAGTGTAACTTTTGATGGATTCTTTTCAGCCAGCAAGCTCTGAGGAATGCTGAATTACAAACAGTAGTCTGGTGTTTACTGCAACTGAAAGGGTATAAAAACTATTTCTAAACTTTGTTCCTAACAGTACAGAGAGGCATTTAAAGTCTAAACATTTGAACCTAGCTTCCTTCTCTGAATATAAGGGTTCAATTTTTCTTTGTAGAGAACTCATGAGCTGTGCTTTCATCAGGGCTAGCACCACTGGCCTTTAAGATGAGACCCTGACAGCAGCCCAGTATTTCCGTAACAGTTTGTGAATGGCTATAACAACCATACATGTGTTTATAGCTGCAGCTATCCATTTAGTTTGTTTTGTGGAATGTTTAAGTCTGCATAGCACAAGGTATATGAATCTAACCTAATAGATAAGCAGGGGTTCTCTCACCATCAGCAGCTCTCTGGCCTTTCCCTCATATTATATAAGTGCTGCAGTTCACCTTTCCTGGAAATACTACTTTACCTAGCAGCTGAGGTGAAAAATTGGAGAAGTTTATTTTAAGGAATTCCCAGCCACTTTTGATTGCCCTTTCTGACCTAGGTTTTTATTATCTCTGCACATTTCCTTCCTTCCTTCAGTTCCATCATTCAGTATCTCTGTTGAAACATAAATTTAAGTCTGCTGTGGCAGCAAAAGCTCAAGAAAGCAAAAATTAATGCAGTAGCCATTCTAATTCACCTATCACTGTACAAGCCTCATCTACAGGGCCTGATTTAAAGATAGAAGGACCTGTTCCTCTGAGTTCAAAAAAAAAAAAAACACCTCTTTCTGTTCAGTCTTCTGTGAACTAAGAGACAATAAAGCAGCCATGGACTCACCATGCAGATAAAAGCCTCGTTTTCAAATTATACTGCAGTTTTTTGTTGGTACTTTGTGTACAGGAAAGAAACTGGCTTCAGATGCCCATAAACATGCTGCATCTAAACATCAACAGAATGATGTAAAAACCACCACATAGCAATGCTCTTCCAAGTAATCAGACAGAGCAAGCAGTCTTACCACAGAAGCATGGTGTTTAACCCCAGTCTGTCATGATCAGTGCAAAAACACTGCTATTACTCCACTCAGCTGAACCCGTTTGGTATCAATGCTCGAGAACACACAGAACATCAGCATGCAAGGTCTGAATATGCACGTACACATGGCCACCAGCTAGTGTATGCCAAACATCTCAGGCATGTCACCTCTCTCCCATTGCTTTTTTCCTCTCTGTTGCCCAACTGGAAGATGAAGCTTCCTTCTCCGTGTTCTTACAGGCTCTCCAGCACTCAGAGATGCCATAAAATTTAGCTCTACAGCTTCCAACTTTCCTGGACTGCAGCCTTCAAGCAAGAGTGAATTAACAGTGAAATAAGCTTTTAGCAAATACATTAGAGGTTATCACCATACACTTGCAAAATGCAGCTTACCATATCAGGATCAGGCACCACTTTGTAACACGATGGTCTTGAATCGAATCGCAACTTCACTAGTGCCAAAACCTTAATACTGTACATGAAGTAGCCTTACCAGATCACACATGTACAGGTTTCCTATGTAAAGGTCTGCAAAGGTAAAGCAGAGTCATTATCTTCAGCCTTAACAAAAGGTTGACAAATGCCATTGGTGAAATACAAGAGTTTAGAAGTTGCTTCCAGAATTATTGTATCTTAGCAGGAACTGCTGAAGCTGCCCAGCAATGTGAAGAGACCTTTCTTCTAGTGGCACACACAAGTAAATTGTTAGGTAGGTAGGTTTACACCTTGTAGCCATTCATATTTTTCTGCTTAAGAAAGCTCTGTTCACTGTTTGCCTGAAGCATGTGGGAACAAAACAAGGATATGGAAAATCATCTACAATCTCTCTGGTTGCAGAATTTCATGAAACAACATCTTCACCATCTGGACTGGTGCCAGCATCCCATTCATTTTGTGCAGCACATTGCAGTAGCGTTTTAGTTAAGATGCTTCACCAAGTTCTCCTGTTATTAGGAAACAACAATGTTGGGAAGAAGAGCTGTCATGTTCATTTTAAATTCTTGTGGTACCAACTGATTTATACGCATTCCATTAACACCAGCGCTGACAGGCTGCCTGGGCCATTTCATACAATGGAATTGTCATGGCAGAAGCCCCATAGCAGAGACCTCAGAAGGGTGGTGGATAAAAGCTTGCAGGCCATTTTTTTCCATGTTTTAAACCACCTTCACGATTCAAAGCTACAATCAATTTCATTTCTTTCTTAATTAAGAAAACACTAACATAACCAGGTACACACAGGAAAATTATGCTAGCCAAATCATACCTTCACACAAACAGCAGTTACACAACATGATACTGGTAAAGTTACTGGATCAGTCCATTTTGCAATTGCTGAAAAACACAATAACTAGATTACTGAAGATTAGGGGTGATATTTTTATTTGCAGAATGAGAATTGGGGAGGGAGAGGAAGGGAAGGAGTTAAAAATAGTAAAATATGGTCATCCTGAAGAAGCCATCCCTCCTAGTAAGCTACCAAACATAAGTTTTCTCTTTAAACTGAATCACCAATATATTTACAGCAGAGTCTAAGAATGTCAGTCAGTTCTCATGGAAATGTGGACTGTAACCAGATAAATAGAAACAGTGCTTGAAATAAAAGTGAATTTGAACCAACATGCAGTTTGCTTCCATCACTTGTATTTTATCAGGCATCCATATGCTGTGCAATACGTTTCATTCAACATATCATTTGAAACCCACAGGTAACCAAGAAAGAAGTAAGTTGTTACAATTAGCATCTTTATGTAAAATTTCACACTTCACAGAACAATGCAATTGACACAGGGTTTACATAGAACATTAGGCAATATTTTGCACTGTGATGACTTGGAAATATTATTCACTGCACAATACTGACAGAATATTTACAGAAAACAATAGAGCAATCATTAGTCTCTTATAAATAAGGTGACCAAATATCCTGGGCCTCCTATTTCAACACGCAATTCCCCTCGTGATGAGGGCAGACCAGTACTTTACTCTTACAAGCCTTCTCTCTCCCTACCAGTCTTCCAAAAAGAAAAGAAAGATCCCACACACAACCAAAAGTAGTCAAACAACAGCAAAATCCCCTTCATGTTATCAAGTTTAAAATCTCAAGCTTAGCTCATTCTTTTAGAATTGTGGTTCCTATCAAACTTGTTTCTATTGCTTTATTTTAGTGAATTTCCACTTTCCCTGATGCAGTTCTGATCTCAGCCTTACTGAGATCACAAAGGACTCAGGAGAGCTCAACTGCAAAAAAGGCATTGTTCTAGCAGCAAGGAAAACAAAAGAACACAGCTTGCAGGCAAAAGGAAAAGGAAGCTGAAGTCCCCACTTGTGTTTAGAAGGATTATGAGACAGTGGACATTTTGGTCGCCTTAATTACAAGTCTCATTTGTAACTTGCATGCAGGTACTTTTGTAATCTGTAAAAGTGTTGAATATCACAACCACACACAGCTCTATTCAAACACCGAACTGGTAACCAGTTTTATAAACAGCAATCATAGGGATGAAGTAGCTTTCTGTCCCAGAAGTCGCAATACAAGATATTCCTATAAGTCCTTTTTTTTTTTATTATTTTTATTCCTCCAGATGTGTACATTGATCTATTGATCTGTTTGAGTCCCATCTCTTTGTAGCCAGCAGTAATCCTACAGGTATGACCAGCTCAAGCAGTGACCCTTTACAAGTTGCATATGCGGTTGCCATTAAAGTTGACATTCACCAAAGGTTACCATACATGGTTCTGGGTACCACAATTATCGGCAAATCACTTTAATGGTGACCACTATATTACAAGTTACTCCAACTACACACACATCAGAAAGGATTATTACAGAGACAATACTTTACACTCTTATACCTGCAGCTTTCAGTTGGGTTTATTTTGTTGCTGTTTTCTACATGGAGGTGGTCTCCCGTGACGCATAATGTGCTTTTCCAAACTATCTAGGATGGCAACAGCAATCCTCTGGACATGTGGATCAGTCTGGACGTTTTCCTTGATGTTGTATAAGTGCTGTAAGCCACCTTCTTCAATTAACATGCTGCAGTACCTGGTAGCTGTAATAAGATAAAAAAAGGTAATCCAAAAAAATTTATCTAGGGTAGAAGTAGCAGATATTGTAAACACTGATTCAAATCCACTTTCATCTCCTATGAGGCAGGCAGCATTTCAGACACTTCCTGAAGTCTTGTAGAGTGAGTAAGAAACAGGCCCTTTGAAAACATTTTGCCAAATGCTACTTACATTGACTAGTATAGAAAATAGTTTAACTAGGATAAGTTGCTATGAAAGCCTTTTCAAGATAAAATTACACTTTTATTTCCTTTTTTGTTACTGCTTTTAAAAAGTCTACATCAATTGCAGTGTTATCACATGCAGAGATCAGCTATAAAAAGAGCCACAGCTGTAACGTAACACACAAGCTTCAGAAGCTGTCACAAAAAGGTCACAGTGACTGTAATGCAGTCCACAGGGCATGAGAGCAGATGTGCTTACCTTCACTGTTCATCTAAGTGACGCAACACCTGACCTGTTTAAATGCTGATACTAAACTTTTCACTGGCAATCACATTTGCTGCAGCGCTACTAATATTTTATATAAGTTAGCTCATTGAGGTGTGAAACAGCGAAAGGAGAAAAAAAATTAATGCC